AGGCGAAATGCCAGAGAGTGAATAGAGTGTCTTCATAAAAGATGAAGTAAAGATGGAAAGTGAAGATGAGGTAAGATGGAGGAAGCAGGTAAAATAAAGGTGCGGGTAAAAGTACGGAGTGAGACGGTGTTCAAGGTCCAGGATGCTAATCGGGCAGCGCTCGCTTGACAGATCAGGGTTATTCCTCCTGGGCCATTGGCATGAACAACTTCAAACGAGAGTTTTTCGACTTGGTAATGTCGCAGCCGTTCTTTAATGATCGTAGCGATGAACAGAAGGATCTCAAGTTCTTCATCGATTTTGAACATTGGCCCGGTGGGGAAGAAGACGTATCCAGGGTCGATGGATACGTCAAACTCTCCATGGCAGGATGCACAAAGAGGAATAGCGTTCGAGGTAGACTTGTACGAGAAAGTGTTGTGTAGGGTATTCGCCCCAACCCCCATGTGTAGATAGCTCGCAGCCTTCTAGCTAGTTTCTCCCTTCTCTCTCTTTCTCTCCCCGCAGTGGAATTCAGTCGGTTCCCTTCCGCTTTCTCTCGCCGTGCCTTCTCAACAGAAAATAAACAGACCGGCCTGCTCCCATATGTCTGTCTACATAGAGACTTGTCAGCCTATTTTTCAACAGACAGAAGGTGTAAATCCCACCTACATATCTTCCTGGGCAACCACATGACAGATCTGCGGTCGTTTCGTTTTACAAGCCCAACAATTGCAACCTGAAAGTCGCTTTGTTTCTAACTTGGTTGTTTCTAAGAATATGCTTGAACCCAAAGAGGCTGTCGACATTGCGGGGATCTGCGTAGAGGACGATGAGTGAGACTTTGGAGAAGATTGTTGTGTAGGGAATTCGTCTAACCCCAATAAGTAGATAGTTCGAGCTTCTTAGCTTCCTCCCTCTTCTCTTCTTCTCTCCTTACAGAGAATAATCAATCGGTTCTTCTTCCTTTTTCTCTGGCCGTGCCTTCTTAATAAAGATGAGGAGAAATGCGATGGTGGGGGAGGCATTTGTTCCTGGTCTGTGGTCGCCGTGGTGTCAGTCGTGATGATTTGAGATGTAATTTGAGGGATACACAAGACCACAACAAAACCTAGTGCCCAACTATGTCTAGTTAGGAAAGCACAGGTCAGGAAGGAGCGAAGCCAGGGTCAAGCTACGCCGGATGAATCCAATAAAGTCAGCTGGGAGCTGACGTTATATAGTTTTCTATATTAATGTTCCAAGGCTATCTAATCAATGGATCTGTTGTTCGCAATGAATGACAAGGAGTGAGCGGGTCACTGAGGTGCATATTGGATTTACACAGCGGGAAAAAGCAGCAACTGAAAGAGGAGGCCAAGAAGCAGCAAAAAAATTCTAGTACCCCTAAAACGAAAGGTGCCTGCATAGCCAAACCTGGAGATTAGAAAAAACCAATAAAAACAAAAAAGAAATGCTCACACTCGGAGTCGAACCGAGGATCTCATCATTACTAGTGATGCGCTTTACCACTAAGCCATGCGAGCAATTGATGTATGGAGCCTAGATTTTTGCCTACATAAGCATATACAGGAAATTACACCTAGGTAAACGCAATTGCTTCGTTGTGTACATCGCAATCGGGCCAAACATGCCTGCACCAACATCGTTGCATTCCGAGTACCATGCAAGCCATTAAGTGGAGCTATATAGCAAGGAGTCGCGTAGGATCAAATCTATGGCTCTTTGGTGTATGCTTTGGCTTTAACTTGGCAGCTGTTGACGCACCTCCTGAATGTTCTAAAGTTACTGTTGAACGGGGGATGTCTGAGAGGAGGTATTGAAACGGGCTCAAGTTGTGATTTGACGAATGGATCTCAATTCAACGCAGAGACAGAAAGAACTCATCATCTGCGGCCCCCAGACATCCCATACCCACGGCATTGTCGGTCGCGTATGCATCCAACTTGATCCAAGCCTCAATGTATTCCAGCCAAACAAATTCGATAGACCCGACATCTATGTCTCGGGTTAGCGTTTCGAAATTTCCCTCGGCAAGTATCTTGGAACAGTAAGACGATACCTTTGGGGCGTTCGGAGAAAGTAAGAGGTTGGCATAGCGAGGCTGGAGTTACTGAGACTGGACAATCCGAGTATGCTGACCCGTTGGGGTCTTGCCCGGGTAGAGACCTATCGCGTTTTGGCTGGTAACGGGCCATGTAGCAACCCTGGAGTTTCTCATCGGGATAATCCAAGGCTTTGAAGCTGCCTAGGAGGATCAAGGGCTTGAGGGTATCGCCTGCCTCAGATATATACTTACCTACTTGGGCAAGTACTTAGGCTATCGAAGACAGGATAGGAATACATATTGCATAGTATTCCTATCAAAAGCGACTGACTCATAGGAAGGAGAGAGGGAGGAGGAGGATCCTCCTCCCGACTTCAGGAGTCTATCTGGGCGTTCGTCCATGGTCTGAAACCACCCAGGGAGTCATCCCAAAATAGGCAAATACGTGACCTGACGATTTCTCCTAAAGTTCAAATTCAAAAGTTGAAGATCCTATAAGGTTGAGACTCTCATACTGTACTTAAATACGCCTGGGGACCTGTGGACACTCCCTTCTCCTCTAGTTCGCATTCCTCTATCTATAGCTCTTTTTTTACTTTACGCACCCAAAAGCTTCAATTGCGAACATTCCTCATTGTTGTAGCTCTTCAAAAAATTGTTCTCCCTGGGAGTTGTATGTGCCACATCTTTGGTCGTAATATCTTCCGTCACAACGGGTCGCATCTGGCCTTTGCCTCTTTTTTTTGTATATGGACAGTCAAGACCCCGGGAGTTTAACATACCACCGGTGCCATTCATGTAGCCTCTTATAAAGCATATCTTCTATGAGAAGAACATGGCATATGGCCTTGGTGACGAGGTAGTTGAGCCAGCCTGAAGGGTCTAGTATTGATGGTCCAACTAGCCGGAGTAGTGGAGTGAAGCGATGACAAGGAAGCAAAATGGTCAGCACATAAGCCCTTTCAACCAGCCATAATTATCTCTAACTTCGTCGTCATGACAATCAACGATTCGGTCGTGAGTGGAAGCATTACCGAATCCGGCGATCTGACAAAGTGCAGAAATCCAAAAAAAAATGAGCCAATCGCCTACATCCCAACAAAAGATTGATCAATGAGAGATACGGCTGCTTAGAACTCCGCCGTCATCCGACATCTGCACCGGGGTTCCTAGCAAGCCACATGCTTCATCTTTTTGTTAAGATTTTTCTTTTGCCACACAATGGCCCCAATTTTCGACAATGTTTGCCTTTCTTTCTTTTTCTTGAAATGCAGGGGAATCTTGATCCATCCAATGAGTTTGGCAGTCACTGAAATCTCCATTCAACACTCCTGCTCGAGTGTCTTGATCTCACATTCCTCGCATCGAGATGTGTGGGGGTAGATCTAGATCTCAGGTTGACACATACCAAACGAAAATGCAGATGACAAGCCATGTGCCCAGGTGCGATATGATGAGTACTACTGTCAGGTTTCTCTACTTATGCATGCTCAAGCAGACTTCGTATTCTAAGACAACAATGAGTTTCGTTTCCTCACCTGTAGACAAGGTAGGAAGTGCCAGTGTGCGGAGTACCCGGGCAAAGTCTGTAAGAAACCATGCATCCCACGGTCCATTCCTTGATCGGCAGAGTGGCGCAGAGCGGACTGGACAATGCGGAACAACTCTCGGAATTGTGGATGCTATCCAAATTCCCCTCACCAGTGTACCATGTATCGCAGGGTCTGATGCCCCTCTCGGAAATCAAGAGGAGGGGTAGTTGAGTGTGGAATCAGACCATTGTCCCCCAGAAGGCCAAAGTAACGGCGCATTGATGTGTTGGCGAGGAACGGGGATGCAGCACGGGTGCCCTGCGTTAGGGTTATGGGTTGGGTGCAACCCTGAACTAGGTTGTTTGTCGTAGTACGAGTACAAATACAGCGTACAGGGACCCCAAACACATTGTTGACAGATTCTGAAGTCCATGAATGCTCCGGTAACATTTATTCGCTCATTTACGAAGACTCAGTAGGTCCACGGGTATTCTAGAATGCAATTTTGTGTCTTTGACACTCTAAGATCGGCACTAATTCCCACTAAAAAACGGTCAAACAAAGAGTCCAGACCACCTTGGTGGGGCCACAAGAGCACGAATATTCAATACAGTAAAAAATAGGATAAAACAAGAGCTGAATTCATGTAAGAATCCTCCGTACGGAGAAAATATCTTTGTCTTACTAGACTGTCCAATCAGTGATCTTGTCCGATATGTCAGACAGTGAAGCGCTGAAATGGCAGCCTGCAGCCCAACAGGATATGACCTGTATATTGCGACCGTGTACTCCTCGCAAACACGTCATTTGCAAACCAACTACTCCGTAAGTCGGAGATGAGATTAATATCTTAGAACCTACTCCGTAGACATGGAAAGGCGGAAATGATATCCCCCAGAAATCTTGAGCCGAAGGTGTAAACGGTGATAGGCTGGTTAGTCAGGTACCATTAATAGGCTCAGATTGGGCCAAGGAAATGAGAGGGCGCACAAGCCCCTGTTTCTGTGTTCTGCGCCATTGGGCGCAGGCTACGCAATCCCGAGGGCGTCCGGCGCGGGTACCTGTGAGATTTCCGTTCGGAGTCAGAGAAACAAAGGCTAGAATGCAGATCTGTACAAGTCGAATACTCGTACACAAGAGTGAAGAGTACAGAATTAGGCGAGAGATCTTGGATCGTGGCTGACTCTCGACCATGGGTTCGATTGCGTGGGCCGAGTGGGTCGTGTTTTTTTCGTATTGAACCGCTGCCCTTTTTTTTGTATTTAATATCTCGACTCTCCCCTTTCAACTTCTTCCTTCACCATCAGCCTCAACGGTACATTCATTCCTTCGCACTCTCGCTCCTTTTTGAGTGCCAATTCTTGCTGCGCAGTGATCTATCATTTGAATACACCACACACTCTTTCATCTCCCGATATCTTGACTATTCCGATTCATTCGCAATGGCTCCTATCACCAAAACTCTCGCCCTTGCTGGCGCTCTCTTCGCCATGACCGGCTATACTGCTCCCGTCGCCAAGCGCGCCGTTGTGTGGGAGACCGTTACCGACGTTGTCTGGACTACTGTCGATGTCACTACCACTGTCTACCCTAACCAGGCTCCTACCGCAACTGTCGTTCCCGTGGCCTCCGCTGTCCCTACCACTGCTGCCGCCGTTGCAACCCCCTCCGAGGCTCCCGTTGAGACCCCTGTTGAGACTCCTGTTGAGACTCCTGTTGAGACTCCCGAGGAGAAGAAGGCTGCGCCTACTACCAGCACCAGCACCACTGAGGCCGCCCCTGCCCCCACTGTCAAGGTGGAAGCTTCTTCCGCTGCCCCAGCCCCAGCTCCTACCGAGGAGACCTCCACCCAGGCTCCTGCTCCCACCACTTCTACCACCACCAGCGCTGCTGCCGCCAACACTCGCTCTGCCAACATCCTAGACACCGTCAGCTCTGGTTACACCGGCGCTTGCTCCAAGGGCTCTCCTTGTGATGGCATGATCACCTTCTACGACACTGCCACCACTTCCACCAACCCCAGCTCTTGCGGTACCACCAACGATGGTGCATCCGAGAACGTTCTTGCCCTTCCCGTCGGTATCATGAAGGACGGCGACTGCGGCAAGACCGTGACAATCACCTACAACGGCCAGACCGCCACCGGTACCGTTGTCGACAAGTGCATGGGCTGCGACGACACCTCCATCGATCTGTCTCGTCACCTCTTCGGTGAACTTGCTTCCATGGACGCTGGTCGTGTCTCCGGCGCCAAGTGGTACATCCACTAAACATCTCGCATTATGGTTACATCTCTGGTAGATTGCACACCCGGGATATGGTCTTGATGACTCTTCCCTTTGGATATGATCTTTTTCTTTACCCTTCGTTCCCGTTCTCGGTCTGAGACCGGGCCCTTTTTTTACTTTTCGTCTCACTCTCTTGACATTTTTTTTCCACCATTTACCCCTAGTGGGCCTTACGATTTACCCATGTTGATAGAATTTTCTTCGGTGCAATACTACTTACGATGGATACCCATAAACTTTCTTGCGCTGGCTTTTGATTGACTCTCTTGATGAGATCTCGAATGGCTTGTGCGAGGACGATGAACGCGATGATCATGTTCCACGAAATCCCCAAAAGAATGGCGTATTGCAAACATTCATTGAATAAAATTCTTTCCCTTTGACTGATTCAATGCTGGATACAGACTATCATCCCTTAATTTCCCAGCATTCATTTTGATTGTCATTGACATCCCCCTTTTCACTTTTGAGTCCTCGATTGCAGCCTAAAGCAGCAAAAGAGCTGCAGCGACCCCGGGCTAATGAGGTGCCTTGGTCAATGCTTTAAGACAACTGCGCCTCCCTTTGTCTTGAGGTTCCCGATCTGGAGCTCCAGTTTTGATTAATAGCGTCCAAGTGTGCGACATTGTCTTGGAGTGCTGGGTTCAATAGTCTACTCATAGTGTTGATGGTCTATCCTATAGTGTTTGTATCCCTGAGCCTCGCTTCATTGCCACAATTCCCCCATGTCTGAAAAAGCTATTCAGATGATAATGAGGCAGACTGACAGGCATAGTAACCATTACCTGCGTCTTCTCAGATCAGGAACAAGTCATGGTGGCGTCAGACTGGTGCCAACGCCGAGAACCCTGATCTCGCCCAACGTATCCTTGGCAAACGGCTCAACAAACACAAAAAGAGACTAGGATTCGTCCCCGTAGTCCTGGTGTGCCTCACGTTAAGGATCTTTGACAAAGTACAACTTAGCCTCACTCTTTGCGACGAGTGACAAACAAGCCCAGCAGCACAAACTTATCGAAGTCGTTCGAGGAGCTACCTCGCGGGGTTCGTCTGCAGGTTTAGGTTTTCATTTCTCAATAATTTGACTTACTATGTAGAGTTATTCGCCTCCGTTCATACGTTGAGGGAAGTATCAAAATCGGATCTCCAGAGTGCATGTCTAACTGAGGCTATTTCATGCCAATAGCATCATGCCGGGGCGATATGGTCATTTCGCTGGACTGAGACCGTGAATTAGGAATTTAAGTACTATATGTCCACTCATACCATTTATACAGGGAGCACTTCACGGCCCTGCTTGAAAACCCATCCACGTCACTATTCCACGTCACTATTTTCTCGACATGGAGTGATAAAATAAGCCATCCAAGAGCAGTTCTCGCTCAGCTAAATACTGATGAGTGTCCAGGGAGGCCAGATGACCTTCTCTGAGGCAGTAGATAGACCCTTCTCTCTTTCTTTCTCTCTCTTCTTCCTTTTTCCCCTCCAGTATTTTCTCTCTCTGTTAGATCGAACAATCTAGTCGATCCTACAGACCTTTTGCTACTCTGACGTATCCTACTGGTTGCCTGGCCCTTCATCACATACCTTCTCTCATTTCCCCCGTCGTCGGTTCTTCCTAACCAGCAAATTTAGATCTAATCGACATGAGTAGTACCACTACTACTACCACTACTTTACTGGGTTTGCCGACCGAGATCCAACTGCATATTATCAAATTTCTTGATTACCCTTCATCTATTGCACTTTCACACACAAACCAAAGTTTCAGGGCTATTGTCCCTACAGAGCCACCCACGACAAATGAACAGAAACTGTCATTGCTACTTGACATGGAAAAATGGCCAAAGTGAGTGGTTCTAAAGTTCCCATTCGAACAGCCGGACAGAGTCTTGCTATACCGATCAATCTATTTAAGTACTCAAGTATCTTTCAATCACTAATCATTTTAGATATGCTCACTTCTTTTCCTGCAATATATGTCTCAAACTTCGACATGAAAATGCGTTCGCCGACAAACAACTACGAGGCAAACGCGGAAAAGACGGAACTCAACAAGATCGTCGATTTTGCCTCGATTGTGGTTTCTACAACAAAATGTATCAACCAGGTCATTTTCTCAAAGTGAATGGCCGTGACGAAGTCCTTTGCGCTATGTGTCGAAAAAGATGTCGATATGGACGATACTGCACGAGGTGCTGTATGTGCGAGCCGTGTATATCAAAGCTACCTCCGGCACCTGCACACCCAATACTTCCCTCGGAGGAACTTAAGGATCGCTGTCCCCGATGTTGGCTCAGGGTCGGTGAATTTACCATAGATTTGGGAAACCCTTACCGAATTTCAGCCTGAACACATGTTGATGGCGATGGAAATGAGCGAATTCGAGAGCAATCATGGGTTCACAGGCAGCCCAGAGTGGTTTGAAGAGGACATCGCTCACGGGAATTCCTAGGGCCCTACTTTAGTATGGATCACGGTTTTCAAAGCGGGGTTTTGAGGTGTTAGTTGGACTTGGGTATTGATATTACAAGCAAATGCACGTGCTATAGGCGCTGCCATCTGACACAGTTGCCCATTGAATAAAGATAAAGACATATCCTTCACTGGAATGAAATGTATTCATATACCTCGTAATCTCATCTGCTCGTCGAGTGAAAATCACCCAGCCAAGCATTTCCGCATCATAATCTATAAACATCCAAGAAATCATCCACACAGACAAGCCATCCTTAAACCGGCTTGTATGGCTTATCACTTCGCATAATGTACACCTCACCAATAAGCACAACGCACCCAACAACCATAGAGAGCGCAATGATGGGAAGGTTCACACGCGCAAAGTCAAGACTCCCTACACGGATATGCTTTCTCCTCAGAATATCCCGCCATAGCAGACCAGCCAGCGAGGCACTAAATGCAGTACTGAATGCACCGTAATTTACACCAAGTGCCATGCTGTATATAGTTGCCCACCAGGTTCGATCACTGATTGGGATACCGGTTTCATCGGCAATCTGTTTCCAGGCTTGGATGACCCGAGAAAGAAGGATCGTTGTGCCGATGTTGGTGCCGGCGAACTGATTAATAGGTGTATTAGTGGATCTGAGGTTTGTTGGGGGCATGGTTCTGACTGCTTACATTGCACAAGATCACGGACAGGAATGCCATTCCGCCGATTGCACCCACTGTCCCGGTCTTGTTTACCCAGTGGTTCCATCCGTATGCAAAGACTGGAACCCAGCCCTTGGTGACGAGTGCTTGGACTAGGACAAACATGGCAAATGCAAAGGGTAGTAGTGGGAATGGCATGTGAGACACGACGACTGTGACAGTTGGGAATGTCTCCTGCAGCCAACGGTAGAGGTCGGCAGATAAAGACATCAATGTCGGCGGTCCGTTCTCTTCGAATGTGATTTTTTGTTTTTCCACATCTTTCGTTTCGATGGTCTGGTTTGAATCCAGTGCCTCCGGCGACGATGCGAGGACTAGGTTCTTGCTGTCCACCGCAAGTCCGCCAGATGTTTGCAACTCAGGACACTTCTCTTTATTGACAAGCACAGAGAGCGATGATGGCGATTCGATATCGCAATGAGGAGTCTTCGATCCAATACTGCTATCAGTCGCCCTGCTGGAAATAGTATCATCAATGTGCGGACCGCGGTAGCGCATATCCAAAGCATCATGTTCTGCTTGGTCATTGCCAACGATCTCTGGGCTTGACTTTGCTGAGTTTTTCTCACTGTTCCGTAGTTCCTTTTGTGCTCGCGCTTCCTCGATCTCTTTTCGACCCCTGGCGGCAATCTCACGGGTCTCGGCGCGATGGATCCAACCAAATCCAAGATCCCAACCAAACATGATTCCAGCAGCTGGGAGTGTCACCCAGAAAACGGGATGTTCTTTGTCTTTTTGACTTGAAGCATTGAGAGCGAGAACAGCAATGAGAGTGGCAGCCATGATAACCGCCCCAAAGGCTGCACCCTTTTTGTCCAAGAAAGGGTTCATGATCTCTTCCAAAGACAGTTTCTTCCCTTTGTCATCGCTGGCTTCTTCTTGCTCTTGCTCTTCGGCCATTCCCCGTGCATTGGGGATGTTGGGGTTGACGGGTGTCTTTTCCATTACTGCCGGGTCGAGCTTGTGCATCGTGATCGAGAGAGGAATCAGGGCTTCGTCTGCAAAGATGATGTACAATAAGAATGGGAAGATCACAATCGCCGTCACAACTACTGGGACGATCATGTTGGCCGTGTAGACAATGAACTTGATCTCGAAAGCACCAGCGAGAACCAGGTTAGTAGGGTTGGAAGACACCAGAATCGCAGAAGCAATATTGGCGATTGCGAACTGGCTATGAATCCAGGCTCTGGGGTGATAGATGTTCTCCGACGCACGAGTCATGTAAGCCAGAAACGCTGTCCCGGACAGAATGATCGGATCGTTTCCTATGAAGGTGCCGAGCCCAAAGAAGAATGCATAAAGGTAGAAGAAGAGCTGGTGACCGACCTTCCCTCCCTTTTGCAAAACTTTGAAGGCTAGCCATCTGATCAGTCCAGATGCATCGACTGATATGGCAATGTAAGCCAATGTGAGGAAGAAGATCATGATATCGTAAGGTTTTATGTTGTTCGCGCCGATCGTTCCATCGTGTACTTCTTGTCGACCGATAGCGAGGATGGCGAGAAGAAAGAGATCCGCTATCAGAGGTGCGGTCAGAAAGTTCAGCGGAAAATGAAGCTTCACGAAAAGACTTTGCTTGTCATTATATCGAGAACGGGAGTTGGCGCGACGAGGGGTTATGCGCATCGCGCTCGACAGGTCGAGAAATCCGTTGACAACCCATCGTGGTAGGTAGAACGGGACATGAAATGGGAAAAGTACAATAATATCTGCCAGTTCGCAAAGTCAGGATGTCAGCTCACTTTCACCTTCCGACTCCGCGATACCCACTAGTAATAACAAAGATTATTAGGGTGATTATTGAGCGCCAGCTTTTGATTTTCGATGTATCGAGATCTTCGGTCATTTTGATGACTTTTCAGATTTTCCCTTCGAAGCGTTGGTATAGGTCCGAGGTGCGCAGCTGCTAGACACTAGGGCAAGGGCTAGGACAATTAGATTTCGAGTCAGTCTTTGTTTTGAGCCGCAGTCCAACGTGACAACAAGACACAGGAATGAAGGGAGAGATAAAATGTACCAGAGTCCAGCTTTTGACTTATGAGCGACACATTTCCCTCCCGGGATCACTTCTGACACTTTGATGGTAAGTCTGTGTCTTGGGCCGACGGAGACTGCGTCAATCTGCTTGTGTGTTGACTCCTTCGCGCTATAGTGGCGGGAAGGTCAAGAAATGTACAGAAAGGGAGCCCCGAGGATAATACCCCTCATCAAAGGACCTGAGGACTGAATGAGCGAGTTCGACACGGGCGCTAAGCCTTGACGCAGAGTAGCGAGGCTGTGAACTGGTCCAGGATGATCTTCCGACAGAGGAATTTCAGTTCAGAGCGATTTAAAGTCTCAGATTCCCGCAGATTTCAACTTCCAGAAACTCCTAATGGGGGCATTTCTGGGCAAATCAGAATTTTCCCCGAAAGACTAAGGGTCTGAGCCTCAAGGAAGTGAGAGCAATCAAAAAGATCTGCAGTAGACACGAGGGAATACACCAAGTTGTGATTAGCCCAAGTTGAGGCTGGGCGAGAAATGCCAATAAGCCCCAAGGCTTGGAAAGAAGGCATTGCAAACCTGCCAAACCCCCGCAACTTGGACGTCCATTTAATGTTGTTGAGACCCACGGTTTTCCCTTTCACGATCCCTGGTTTCTCGCGAAATACTGCCTTTCTCACAAGTTTACTCTCGCAAGGATTCCATGTCGCAGACTCAGCCACTGCGGGATTTGTACAACGCCCCAATGCCCAATCAACAGGGGGGCTAGTGTTGCCCGGTCTCGTATTGCTTGCCCGGGTGTGTCACTGCGCCCACTCAAGTCACCACAACAATCCCCGCTCCAAGGAAAACATCATCGACCAGAGTTAATCTTTTGAACCCTCCAATCCCAGCTAAACCGAGGTTGAAGAATCTCGAGTTGCGGCTCTTTGCTGACCAAACACCCTACCCGGGTGTAGTACCCTACTCGTACTCGCTTTGTTAGTGATAGGCAATGTGCCGCGTGAATAAGACCGTCCGGGGAAGCACATCTCTTTCTTACTTTTGACACCCTTGAGACCTCGTTACATGATATTGAATTACTATTAGAGAATACCGTCTTAATATATGCATTGTCCGCTCTTCTATTCTAAAGTGACTGTCGTCGGGGGATGACATCCGATGCCGGCGATTCCTACCCTTGGAGCCTTCCTAGAATCTACTCTTGTGCACCGCGAGACCCTTGCATCGCCCGCAAATTCGACTGCGATTGCATCCCAAAAGGCTCTTGAGGTGATTTGTGCGTGGCCTGTCTCAGGCCAATACGGCCCTGGGACGCGAGCACTGTACGTGGTCCCGGCAAACAAAGAGTCCCAGAATGGTGCGCTGACAGACACTTACAGATACTACATCCTCATTGCGGCGTGTGTGGTGGCTCGCAAGGTAGAATGGATTCGAAATGCGTGTTTGGCCGCGGTGTTACTGTTTCCGGCTATCGCAGCCCTACATGCTATTGTTTTGGCCGTCCTTCATGTTGAGGGTGAGTCTGCTCAAATACCCCTTTCACTTTGTTTGAGAATTCTACCGGGTTATCTGGGTATACTTCTTAAGACGGTGGATCTGACAAGCTATAGGTGCCGTTGACATGGACATTTACGGGGCCTTCCAGTTGTGTGCAATCGGTATTCTGACGGCACCGGCGACCGTGCGATTATCACAGACCTATTTCAACAATCCAGGCAGGAATATCATTTTCATATGGACAGTTCTCCTACTGGCCGGACTTCTGAGCTTGATCGTTGAATTCATGCGCCTTGAAGGCATTGCTGTTCCGCGGAGCTCGGTAGCATGCATGGCCTGGGCAGGTTCAGGTGGGAAAGGATCATTCCCATACGGCGACAGTTGTGACCTCAAATGTTCACCTGATGATGGACCAACGTCGAGTCTCCGAGAAGGCTCAACCGACAACATCTATGTGGTCCCCACGCCCGACAAATTATCTTTCAATACCACCACACTCCTTGCCGCTGCATGTTGCATTCCAGCCATACTGTCGTTGGTATCTATGTGGATCAAGATCATGGATCATAACTGGGAGAAGTTGTCAGACGGAAGCAGGAAACATCAGGAGCCTGATGGAACTATCAAAGGTACTAACGGTGCTACCGTTAGTGAAATGAAAAAAATCGGGGAGACGATAAAAGATCTGATGTCTCTCATTGAAGTACCAGTGATGGCAGCAGCAGTTCTGGCAATCCTTATAAAGGGCGAGATGAACTTTTGGAGTCGTCAAGTTTACTATCAAACCGAGCCTATAACAAGCATTGGTGAGTTGTGACGGAATCCCTTTTCTTCCACCCATGAGCTAACCGATGTCACTCAGGCCAATGGGCACCTATAGTCGGTTCCGGACTGGCTGTCCTAGGATCCTTATACCTCCTAGTTGCCGCTGAAATGGACGCCGCAGGGAAGGGCGACCAGCAAAAACAGTGCAAGGAGTGTGCTATGTCAGAAACCACCACCAGTTCCAGGCGCCAGTCAGGCACAAGCACCGAAGACCAATCACTGGAGCCTCAAACGCCTATCCACCAGACCCCGACTCTGGGAAACGAACCACTCGCCCGCCAACCCACAGCTCTATCCCTAAAAGATAAGGGCGGAAGAAGAAAAGTTGCCCACATCCTGAATTGGGCATCCGAGAACATAGCCATCAGAACTCATTCACAATACGAGAAGGGTGGTTTCAAACGGGATCACAGATCCACTTACCCTGAAACCCCAGGGGAGCACTACAAGAATTATAAACTACCGGAAGACAAACGCAAATACGACGAGTCGAGAGCTCCAAGTTTCGTCAGCAGTGGAGGGTCAATTGACAATGGGGAAGGGTCATCCAGAAGTGCTCGCAGTCCAACACGGCACGAATCACACCCTATCTCATCCCCGTCACCTGCAAGATCAAGATCTCGTCACAACCGTGACTATTCAAGGTCATTTCCGACCGATGGGCGGCTTCACACATCTTCATATTGCCCAAATCCTGAGGGCTCATTGCAGGAGTGGTCGCAGAATCTGCGTCCGTTTAGTGGAGTGTCGAGTCGGAGTCGAGCCAATTCCAGCTCTGAGGTCGCTGTCAGCCCGACGACTATGTTACCACCGAATCAGAATTATCCAACTATCATCGTTTCTTCAGCTGGGGCTGAATGATGGGACAATAGGCCTGGATCTATTGCTTTACGATCTGACGAGTTTACTATTTTCTAGATAATCTGTTTACATACTGTATCTATAAGTTATTCCAAACCTTGGAAGTTTCAAGACCATCAAACTTCATGGATGCTCGAACGGGTTACTTCAAATAATCTAAGCTGCCATTTCAACCTTGGAAGCCGATAAAACATAGGATTCAGAGATAAAGGAGTGGTCACGGTTATACTTACTTAAGTATTTTTGTATCTCTCCACCTCAGAGGTTCCGAGATCAATCCTTCCAGCATTTGAAGGCTGTTTATTGGTAGAAAGTCTTGACTAAGCGGAAGTACAGTTAGCTTCTATTCTGAAGACTCCGAGTCCAACTGCTAGTAGTTCCACAATTGTATCGGCTCGGCCCCACGTCTTCTGCAAGTCCAAAGTTATAACATTAGACTTGCGAGCCCCTGATGTCTTCCTACAATTTATCACTCAATTTTCACACCAACAGTCCAAACTTGCCTGATTGACACCCGAAAGCCTCTGCAAACACGACTAAAATGTCCCAACCAACCTGGCGACCCGGCAAAAGAGTAGCCATAGCCGGTGGTGGTCCTGCGGCAGTATCAACCGCTCTAGCATTCATCCAACGAGGCTACGATGTCCGCATCTTCGAAAGACAGTCAGAATGCAAGCCAATCGGCGGAGCAGTTCTTCTCAACATCCCCGTTCTAGCAATCCTACGCTCCTACGGAATATCCATGGAAAACATCGGATCCTTCACAACAACCTCATTCCAAAACAAAAACAGCCACGAACGTGTCCAACTCCCCTTCAACAAAGAGATCGAAAAGCGAATGGGTATCAAAGGCTGGCAATATGGCGTATTACGCTCATCCATATTCCAAAAAATGCTCAACCTCCTTCCTTCAAACGTGATATACACCTCCCACGAATTCAAATGCTATTCTGAGCTCGAAGACGGAATCGAACTCACTTTCCAAAATGGAGAAAAAGTCACCGCAGACCTCTTAGTTGGCGCAGATGGGATCCGCTCTGCTGTCTCCCGTCAAGCATTCGGTGATCCGAACCTGTTCCACGCCGGTATCCGCGTCTGGCTTGCTTGGTGTGATCAGATCCCTGGCATACCCGAGAATCACGGTGTCATTTCCCATGACTGGCAATATCAAGCTAGTTTCTTCCCCATGCTGCACGAAGGCAAACCCGGGTTCGAATGGTGGATTGTGGAACACTCTTACGATGGCAAGCCAGTACCCGAGAACCCAAAGGAGTATCTGAGCAACATTCTTCAAAACTGGGCACAGCCCTTACCACGTCTTCTTGAAGCTACCAATTTCGAGCAGGTGTATCGGTGGGAAATCTTCAATCGTCCATCCATGAAGACATGGTCTGTTGGACGTGTTATGTGCATTGGTGACGCTATTCACCCTGTATCACCATATGCAGCCTACGGTCTCGGCATGGCAGTTGAAGATGGATACTTCTTGGCTAGGGCTCTGGATGGAGTTGACTTGCGTGATGGTGCTGCTGTCAGAGCTGGGTTTGAGGTTTTTGAAAAGCAGCGCGTTGATTACGTGAATCATAATATGGAGTTTGCTCGATTCAGTGGGTATATGTTCCACTCGTTGCCTTGGCCTCTGGCTAAGATCAGAGATTGGATCTTTGACTATACGCCTATTCTTGGGAATCTTTTGAAAAAGGATTATCTGAAAAAGGCTGAGGAGCAGACGATGAATATGAAGGAGCTTCATGTTTGATCAGGTTCGGGGAATATGTATGTACATATACTTATGTGGGGATGTTGAACAGATCCATACGTGGAGAAACCTGCCAAGCTTTCCCCTGGGGCTGTCAATGCCAAGCTTGATCCAGGCACAATTTGTGATTGATGTACATGTACGGAGAAGGCAGATCTTGATAAGATCTGATCTGGATGGTGGGAAGTGTCTACTCGAGGTTGCAAGGTTTACAGTTGAAGTGAAAATAACCGCATCTATTGAACTAAGCTGGTAAAATCGGGAATTGCAAAATCATCACTCATCCACCCCGTGAGCCCTGGAGCCCGTGGAAATGAATCCGCAGAAACAAATCTGGAGCTCTGGTTGCTAAGAATAAAACCGATTGCTGGAAAGAGAAACACTATAGACAAGAAAGCAAAGGTAACCTGGACAAAGCCCGGCCACCACGCGGCAGATCAATCAATAAGACTGGGGTTTTCTTTTTTTTATGTGTTTTTAGCATTTTTTTCATCGTATTTGGCATGTTGCCTAGGCAGTGGTGCCCACGCCGTGCTTCAAGCTGGACGAACTTGTCGCATCGGCATTCTGTGAAGCAAGGAACTTCTTGAACATATCAGAGATATCCTGCTCAGACTGCTCGTCCGCACCGTTCTTCTCCATGATCAAGCCACGGAGCCAGTGGTTCTCAAGCTCGAGCTGGGAAACACGTGCCTCCAGGATATCGTTCTTGTTGGTGGTTTCCTTGACGGTCTGCTCGAGCGCAGCCTCGCGCTGCTTCTTCTTCACACGGAAGCGGGCACTGGCAGCAGTGTTGCGGCGACGCTTGTCCTCCTCTGCCATGTGGCGGGTGTCATCCTCAGGCTCCTGGGCGGACTTGGAGTTCTTGCGCTTAGTGCCGGTCACCGGAGTGGGAGGCGACATGGAGTGAGCAGGTGGAGCCGGAAGAACCTTCGGAACGCTGATTGGGGCAGGTCGAATGGGGGCCTGGTTGACCGCAGGGGCGACCGGGTAATGCGCATTGTGCATAGACTGAGCATTCTGGTTCAGCTCCGGCTGATAGTCAGGGATGGAGTTCAGGCCCTCTGTAAAACACCATTAGCATTGATCTAATTTCCAAGCATCCACAATCGGTGTCCCGAAAGATGATTGAAGTCCGAGGAAAGTTCCTGAGTTTCCCGATCACGTGAAATGGCGTAATAGTGGGGAGAATTGTCGCCAGCCAAAATCAAATTTGGCAAACTCTGCTGGGATAGGCATGAGGGACACGAAAGGCAAAAGAGGGAAGGTAGGAAATGATGAGAACATGTGATCAAAAGATGCCATCAGAGAGTTGGGGGGTAAAGAAAAGATTTATCAAGTCTGAAGCGCACGAAGCGCCCAAAATCCACCCGGCCAAGATCATGCAGCCATGACGAGCTTGAAAAGGCAGCCAATAAAAGTGTAAATCGAACTCAGGTCTCATGAGGATGGGCAGGTAATGGTGTGATCAGGGGAAACTCATGCAGGGAACTCATGCAGCTCGAACTTCAATCATCCAACCAGAAGCAATCGCGGCCATCCCAAACCATCCATGGACATCAAGGGAATCCAAAGACAGCCAGGATGGACAAAGATCACATTGACTCACCATTGTTCAAGAAATCCAAAAAGTTGGAATCCGCGGCGTGGGACTGTTCCACAGTCTGGGGCTTCTCATCCACCGAGTCGAAAGCGGGCAGACCGAGATCTGTGAACTTGTCGAAGTCAAAGAACTCGGTGTTGGTGAACAGAGCGAGTTCAGTGTCGAGGTTGTACGGGGTCTGCTGCTGTTGCTGCTGCAGAGCCTGGTCGTAAGGCGAAGGAATCGCGTTCAGATCATCGATGTACTGGGAGAAGTTGGGGGCACGACGCCCGTTGTAGTTGGCCATATTGAATCAGCTGGTGTTGTAACTCGGGAACTGATTGGATCGATGAACGAAGTCGAGGTTGAAGTGCGCGTTGCGCGACGAAGTATGGTTGAGTCAATCCGAGGATGGATGCCGAATGCGGCTCGGACGGAGACTTGAGCGATATGAAGTCGACGCGAAATGAGTCGAGCAGGCGATTTATAGGAAATCGCCAGATGGGTTGTAAGATGTAGGATGCAAGTTACAGGAATCTGGAGAGGGTTGGGGGCCACAGTGGGTTTTTTCTGTGAACGTTCAGTGGGGAGGCACCGGGCCCGGAGGGGTGATGATTAATCCCCGATTTGCCTCCCGATCCGATCAATGGGGGTATTGTTCTTCTATTCTGTATTCTGTATTCTGTATTTACTATTAATGTTTTTATTTCCTATTTCCTATTCTCTATTCCCCAACACACTCCAGTTTTCTGCTTTCTATTCTTCTTGTATGCCTCAATTGCTATTCAAAGCGGAAGTGCGAGGCCGAGCATCGGAGCCCACTCTAATGGGTCCCACGTTCCCTAATTTAGGGTATACTTAATTCTATTCAACTTCCCATCTTATTTGTCTTCTATTATATTTGAGGAATATTCTGCACAAATCACGCTTCTGCTGCCTGAGCCCATTTCTTTCAATCCTCCGTCTCTCCATTTTCATCGACAAACGCGGTTATTTGGACAAACCCCGAAACCGCCGAAGTGGGGCAACGGTGATTGGTAGATCCATTCTTGGTAAGCAGGAAATCCTTCTCCTTCGAAAGTTCAAAGTTCCAAGTTCCCTTCCGATTACTTCCTTGTATGGAGTATTCAAACTGCCTTCCAAGGTTGTTATCCTCTTAACAATCACCACGTCATTGAAACCCCCTTGAAATGCTTCCCATACTCGTACTCACCCCAAGGTCCATGGATATTATAATAATCACAAAAATACTTCGTATAATAGTCTTATGTTATACTTCTAGGTAACTTCTACCATCTTCGGTATAGTCCGGACTGCTTATCTGCTGCACGTGCCTCCGGAACCGTTGCCGATGTCCCCAAAAGGGTTTAGCGTGCTCATTTACGAGGAAATGCGCATTGGCCGTAATGCCCACGGGTGTGGGAATATAACCTTGGAATGCACTGATCAAGTTTGAAGTCATCCTGACATTTGCTTAAAAGCAAAGATTCATATTCTTGTTTCGGTGGATACGAGAGTCCAAGCATGTGGAATCCTCTTAGTGGTTCCACTCGTTGTGCTCCATAAATACTCCAGGGCTCGACCCACTCCGGAACAGGCACTGAGGTCCGGGATAACCATCCTAGGCTGATGCCGACTTCCAGTTGTAGTTGATACAAGAATACCAGTTGAGAAAGTTCTTCACTCCAGGGCCTAATCATCAATTAGCTCTCTTTGTTTGCTTTCTTGTTTCCCGATAATTCCTACTATATTATAGAATTGAAACCAGTAGATGCGGGCAACATCCATTAGACTGTTTCATCAGGTGGGGAATAGAGAGAGGACCGAGAATATCCAAGGCCTCTAGTATTGAGACGAGAGAGGAATACCATCCACTATCAGACGAGTGCACCCGCTATCAGATGAGTGTTCGAGCAAGCGACTCACCAGCATCACCAATGCTCAGATTCAATCTGCACCTCATCAACATCAACTCCATCAACAAACCAACGACCAGTACCATCTCCATCTGGTCCCAGAATAAGGTCATTGCCAGACATCATACGTTTCTCCATCTTTCCATCCTGACTAAAAGTCCAGTCCTCAAGCCCATAACATCTCGTCCACCTATGACCATTCGCAGCGTCTTGGAACTCATACCAGAACTGCACAGCGATACGGTTATCGGTGTATGAAAAAAGCTCTTTTCGCAACCGGTAGGATTGCTCTCGGTTCCATTTAGCGGTCAGGAATTTGACGATGTCTTCAGTGCCGCGGAGAAATGAAGTACGGTTGCGCCAGATGCAGTCGGCAGTGTAGGCTTTGGCTATCTGCTCTGGGTTTCTACAGCCGATAAGCTTAGACAAATGTATGAGCCGTGGATCAAACCTACCGAGTGTTCCACAGGGCTTGGGCAGCCTTGACTTTGCTTGTTGCTGTTGCGAATGAGAATGGGGGTTTCAGGGATGCCATGGCTTTGGAAGGGATGGAAAACGATTCGTCTGTTTAAGTGCTCAATCATATACGTGAAGCTAGCCTGAAACACCTTTCTTAATGAGAGAGACTGTTGAGTCAGGTCTTAGTGGCTGATATATGCAGCTAGATGGTGGTCCAACCCAAGTACACCGCTGTCGGACCCGAAGCTCGGCTAACTACGTCACCGGGACAATCTGATATCAATCGTCACTTCATTCATTTTCGTGCATCTTATTGAGCATAAGAATTCTACACCAATCCCTAGCATGTCTATACATCCCAATGCACTAGGAATAGGAATACAACCAACATGAACACTAAGTTCAGACTGGAAGGAAGAACCGTTTGCGATCTGACTTTGAGCTCCCGTATCACCAAGACGTCATCATGCAACAGGACTAGAGTCTCTGTTCACATTATGCATTTCACAAGACGTTGAAAGCTTTACAAAGCCCGGTGGTAACCGGTGGCTGTCGCCCAGAGAGCCCAACTGACCACCACTGTTGACTCATGCGTCTAAAGTAAAAGCGACAGCAGTTCATTGGGTGGCAAGACTATTTATTTCTGCCAGGGGATTCACATCTGGCAAATGACCCGAAGTAACGTAGCCCAAGCGGCGTGAACGAGTAAGACAGACACAAAAGTGAGTGGATTTATCTTAAACAATTCCCCATCCTCCTGACACATCCCACTAGAAAGCATCATCCGCACAATCAAACATAAATCCAATACCTAGAAGAGCAACTTCACCGTCAATTCAAGTTTACTCCAACCAATACATTCGGAGAGGTTGATCGGGAGAATCTCATCCTCCGGGACATTGTTGCCGGAGATGCAATTTCCCTGCCACAGACACTGTCAACCCCGAAGTCGTACTTAACCAAAGTCACAGTGGTCAGATACCATGACTTTTATAAAACCTCCTGACCGACGTCTTCAATACCCTCCCAAGATCCAGCCAGGAAAGCACAGACATGCAGACGAAACCTCATCAATCAACAATGGGCCAACAGAGTCTCTCCATCCCAAGCCCCTGCAAGCGACCGGCCTCAAATGCCAGCCCCCTAAAAACGAAGCCAGGCATGGGAACTATCGATGAGATAGAGCCATGGCTCCCCGAATACTCTGACCAAGAATACTTCCAAATGGGAGTCGACTTTGTGCTGTCGTAGGTTTCACTTTTCCCTCACTCTCCCTGACTCATATAGCGCTTACCAAAGTCCAGCCTCGAGCGCCCATGTCTATACCATACCCAAAACGCACAACCAAATAGACATACCTTTTCCATGCAGGGCACATTGCTCCAATATGCCCCCCCTACTCTCGCTACAGATACACAGTGGGAAGTCTCGGCCGAGGTGTTTCAAAAACTGTTCGAAATGGCAGACAGGCTTGATCTAGATGGTTACATCACACCTGTACAAGCATGGAATCGGATAAGAGACCATGAGAACTTTTCGCAGTTGACCCGCGAAAAGCTGAAGATTCTGGAGAATAACATGAGGCCTAATATTAAGTGCCAGGGGTGAGTGAAGGGAATCATTTGGAAATTGCGAGATGTGGTCTGACTTTTTCTCTATAGATTCGCTGCGATTATGGAGGAACCTATTTTTGAGATTTTGTTGAATCAGGCTCTTGGCTCTTGAGGGAAGATATCCCGGATTTTGTCGAATGCAGACTGCTCCTGAAAGCAGGATTGAATAGAGAGAGAGAGAGAGAGAGAGAGTGTGTGTGTGTGTTTATTCCGCTTACCAAACGCATAGCTGAGGAGGTGCGCGTGATTGATTGTGATATAATGGAAGACATTGATCATTCATTGAATGCTTTCCATTTCTAACCTGGACCGAGTATTTCCGTCTGCCTGCTTGGGTTGTGTAGTGTTATATGCCTTGTATCCGTTCATCCCCAGCCCTGTTCGCCGAGGTTGCACAGAAACGCCACCTTAATAAGGCTTTCAGGGCGTGACTACACAATGGTAACGTATTCTCATTAAAATTTCTTGTTCTAACTAAGTATTAACAGCCTCATTTTTAAGTTTGCAGGTCTTTTCAACTTCGGAGAAATTGCCTGACTGCATCTGCCCATTTTTCTCCATTCTTGTAAGTGAAAATGCCCGGAATGCTCGAATTCTGTAGTCCATCAATAGCAGCAGCAAGATCCTCCCCACGCCCCTCCTCCTTGATTTCTCGAATAGAATACAAATAAGTATGGAAAGCAAAAACGATAGCCCTCGACTGCGGAAGACGATGCAGCGTCTGACGCTCACAGCGCACAAATGTCTAATAGAGTCGTGAGAAACCTATCCAAACAAATCTCAAAGCACATACCTTTTCCAGATCTAGATCTTCCAGAGCTAATTGATCCAGCTTATTCTCGAGAGCAGTACCGCCCTTATCGAAATTGGAATACAATTCCTCATCCACAGTCAAGCTCCAATTGACTCGCTTGACTAATCTCCCTGTCTCCAACCGGGCAAAGAATCGATCCATGCTTTTTTCCAGTTTTTCCCGATACCCTGGTACGGGGCCATGGATATCAGCTAGCTTTTTGCCAAGCTTCTCTCTGGGTTGGAAGCCTGATGGGAAACATGCTGCATATGCTTCGAGGATATAGACTTCTTGTGGGCCTTGTGGGCTGGTTTGCTTGTGTGGTAAAAGAATGAAGAAATCCTCATCAATATTTTCGGCAATTGTTTCCAGAGCGTTGCGGAGAGATATAGAGTCGTCAATTTTAGTCGCTGTTGTTTTGTGTGTCACCAAGTTCTTGACGACGTTTCCAACATCACCGCTGTACAGTCGAAACTGCGAAGGATAGCGACAAGGCAGGTAGGTTTGAAAAAGGTAATGATATAGTTCCTGCACCGCGAGTCGAATCTGTGCATTTGAATCGTCGGTAATACCGATAACGTCATTGGGGTATTCGCGAAGGAGAGACTGGCGGAGGGGAAGACGTTCCATATAAGTTTGGTCGAAAAGCAGTAGATCATGAGGATCTAAACTCTCGATACCTGTATGTAAAGTGGTTAATAGAGATAGCATTATTGTATCGCGGCTCGACCGTACCCATGGTCAGATGATACTTTTGCTTGAAGGGCCATAGCTTGGGAGGTTTGACAAGACTCAGGTCGAAACATCCTGCTGAGACAATATCAATCTTTCGATCCAAGGCAGGCAGGCTAATATTCATGGCAGTGGTCTGGTAGGTAGGATTAGATGAGTGATCACTGGCTCGCTTTGGGTAAGACCTCGAGACTTACTTGTTTAGTCTGTTGAAGCCATCGAATGACCACACCAAGTAGGACAAGACTCGATAGTCCTATTGCTGCAATGGACATGTTCGGTTGCGGTAACAAAGAGATGAACCAAGGCATGTTCAGAGATTGATGGGAATATAGACTTCAGGAGGAATGAGTATCACTCGAGGGGGCGATCATTGACAAAAGAGCCCTTCCAACCAAGATGGTGATGTTGCATTTTATTGAGAAGAGGAAAAAGAGAAATAGAGCGGAGAACCCCATCTCATGGCCATCATTGACAGCGAATATTATCTTCTAGATCACTTCACAACCCATAGTCACGCCCAAAGAGGCAACCAACTGCACAATCCGGACTATGAATTGATCTGATTGGTTGGATTGAGAAAGACCCCGTTTGATTAGTCACTTTCTCCCTGAACTTGCCATATCCGGCTTAGCGTCTTCCATATATCTCTCGAGGGCTTCGACAATACAATCATTCTTAAATCCGAAATATGTGGTGATATTGACAATGAAGAAAGTTTCTAGCAATGCAGATTACCAGCGAAACTAGGACTCCAGATCCAGCAATCTTGCAAACTCCCCTCCCGCTTTATTTAACAACTCCCGTGGAGGTCCCACTTCCAACAGTTGACCACCAGCCAAAACAGCAACTTGATCGAAGTCAAGGAGACTGTGGATTCGGTGCGCCACCATGATGACAGTGCAGTCATGGAATGACTCCCGTATGACCCTTTGGACCTTGGCATCCGTTTTCGGGTCCAAACTAAACACAACATCCTAGTTAGTTACTGCACTAATAGAACAGAATGAAATGAACCTAAACAGTTCCGAAACATACCTGCTTGTGGGCTCATCCAAGATAAGTATCTTGCTCCTCTTCAGGAGAGCTCTAGCCAGACAAAATAGCTGCTTCTGACCCTGTGATAGAACACTTTCATTAAAGACTGAATCCAAAATATCCTCCGTGTTACCAAGACTTGCTGCAAAAGAGTCCCAAACGCCAACAGAATTCAACGCGTCCATTATTTGCATACTTGAAGCTGTATTCAGCGGGTCAGCATTCTGTCTGATGGTGCCGGGGAACAGGAACGGCTCTTGGCTTAGACAGCTGATGCGCTCTCGGATTGATGGCCGGGAGACAAGAGCAATATCTTGTCCATCTATGAGGATTTGGCCCGAATTGATCTCGTTCAGACGAAGAATAGACAGTGCCAATGTACTTTTGCCACTATTTTATAACTTGTCAATTCTGCCATTTCGGAAAAGTATGCCCTCAATCAGGGATGATGGAAGTGAAACTAACCTTCCAGTTCTTCCGCAAAGACCAAACTTTTTCCCAGCAGATATCTTCAGATTGATACCATTAAGCAAAGGCTTTGTCTCGGAGACATTCCAAGAAATGTTCGCGTCGACAAATTCGATTTCACCATAAGGCGGCCATTGTGAGAGCTTACCATAGCTCTGGACTGCATTGCTTTCTTCATTGGGTGTTTCTTCGGCAAATTCCTTGATGCGTGAAATGGCGCCCAGTGATGTCTCGAGAAGAGTCCAGTTCTGGATGAGCTCCGATAGAACGATTCCTAGGTCTAACATCAAGACAAGGGCAATTCCCAAAAGGCCAGCGTCAACACGAGTACGGAGAGCGAAAGATAACCCGACAAGAAGGACGGTTATACCGGCTACTATCAGGTTGAGCACGAGACTTAGCCAGCGTTGAATGCATAAGAGGAGATAGTAAGGTCTTTGGGCGGTGTCGAGCATGGATATCATTCGACATGTGGTGGCGTGGGTCCAGGAAAAGGCACGGATAGTAATGACTCCTGCTAGTGACTCGATAAAATGGGTGTAAAGAGGACTCTTGAGCTCGATTCTGTAGACATTTTTCAGTCTCATGGATGATAGAGAGGGATTGTATTATGCAGAAAAAAAGATAGACAAGGTGCAATAGATGAAGAATCACATACTCCAAAAGTCGTAGTTGACGTGATGTCCTAAGATAAAACCGCTGAATAAGGACCAGCACCCCAATTATGAACGGCAAAATCGCTGCTAAGTTGGGTAGCGAAGCTATCGCAATGGCGCTTTGGGCAATGACATCAAAAATCTCTAGATGTTATAATGAGATCCATGCTCAAATATTCTTCTCGGAATCTTTCTACTTACGAAACCCCGTGGAGATAAAGCCTCGAGGAAGCACCATATCAACCAGCCTCATGTCTTGACTAAAGCGAGTCACCAGAACTCCAGTATCGACGTTTGACAGGAACGATAACGGAGCACTGGGTTTGTTAGCCAATCTCATGGATCATTATTTTCAGGTCACTCACCCCATGCAGGCATGTAAAACAGTTGAATGAAGACTTTTGGAAGCGGCGGGTACAATGAAAACCCAAGTCCAGCTTGCAAGACCGGAAAAATTAGACAATACAGAAAACTGTGGACAATGAAGAGTAAAGAGACTCACAACACCGCAAGTGCGAGAGAAGATGCCTGGATGACAGAGAATGCTCCGTATAATCCAAGCCAATAGCCCAGACGTGAGGCTGTGTTGTTATCACTGCTGGAAGACCAAAGGTTGATCCATACATCTATTTTCGAGTGAATCAGATAAGATTCATGCGGACATCTTGCTGAGAATTCCGGTGCAACTTACATCGAAACCCACTTATGCCCGATTCGCTGACTAGGAAAAGGACCAACGCAGCAATCCGTGCCCAGCCCAGGGCAGAGAAGTAATAATTGTAAACAGAAAGGTCGGTCGTCTGCCGCTTTCCATCTGTGACAAGAGGGCTGGTTGGATCTACCAGATCATCAGGTGTGGCTAGCTCATCAATTTTTTCCATCTCGTCATGGTCTGGCTTCAGGGGTTGGACACAATGTATCTGGGCTAGGCTCTCAGTGCTGTCTCGTATCTCAGCGTAGCTGCCCTGTTTGAAGACTTGACCATTTTCCCCGAGAATCATGACCAAATCAGCCTGGGACAAATGGTGAACTAGAATTCGATTAGTGTGAGATCTGCATTTGGTCCATTGAGAGCGACATAGTGACTGATTTGGACCTACTAGTGTGGGATACCAAAAACACCATACACCCAACTCGACGTAGCAGTCCAGTCTGACCAAACACATTGTTGAAGACATGTCTAGCAGTCGCATTATCTAGACCACTGAAAACATCGTCGAAGCAAGCAATCCGTTTTCGAGCATAAACAGCTCGCGCGATAGCCTAGCAGATCAAGGTGTTAATAAACCACCCACAGAGACATAGAGGTAACCCACGATTCTTTGTCGCTGTCCTCCACTGAGCTTGGATCCTTTGCTGCCCACGCTTGTCTTGTCACCTGCTACCATCTTTTTGAGATCCAGATCTAGTGCACATGCGCTTATAACAGCTTGATACCATTCTGAATCAAATGCAGATGGATCTTCTCCAACAATGTTCTCGCGTATCGATGCATTGGATAGCCATGGCGTTTCGTCGCAGAATGCCATGTCCGGGTATTTCATGAAAAGCTCACCTTCCAACACGGGTGTTTCACCTGCGAGGCCCTTCAAGAAGGTGGACTTGCCGCATCCTACTGAACCGACAACCATGATGACGGTACCAGTGGGTATATATTCGACTTTAAGTGTAATACCAGGTGTCTCTGGTAAGGAGAAAGGGTTCCAGCCAAAACGGACATTTCTCAGTGACAGAATCACTTCATTCGCCATGCTGGCACTTTTTGGAAGTGGTGATAACTCAATGCTAGAAACATTGCTAGTTGTTGAGTGAGATGAAATTGTCTGCGGAAGCTGTCTCTTGTCTGTGTATGAGAATGACCTCGTTAGTAAATACCAAAAGAGTTCTAGCAAGGAGGCCTGCTCGGGTTCAGAGATGAGAAGGCATAGTCAAATGAAGCATAGAGTGACAAACTGAATACCTACCAAGACGGCTGGGATTCATTAGAAACTCTTGTATCCTGTCCAAACAACCTATAGATGCATATGTGTCAGGAATCGCCATCAAAAGATAACTGAGCGGGGTGATCATCAAGCTTATGAGCGAAAGCGATGTGATAGCTTTGCTGACTGGAAGACCCCCGGAGCCCTGCACCAACGACAAAATAGCGTAGGCAGCGAATGTCACAAGCTGGCCAACAATTATGGGAGAATTGACTGAAGAACTACTGTCAGTGATTGAGAGTTCTAACGCATTATAGCCGAAGAGAAATCGAGACACACGCACCCATGCATATGCGAAGAGACTGGAGCCTGCGAAACTTTTTGGAAGTCTCAAGCTCTTCCGTACGCAGTCCCTCAATCATAGAACTCATGGTCCTGGTCAATCCGAGGACTTTCACGTTGCGAATAGATCCCAGGATGGAAGTTGTGAAGTTGATACGCTTCTCAGTAGCACCAAGCCAATGTTTCTGTCGAACAGAGATCGCGCTGCCCATGGAAAATGAGGATGCTATGAAGACTAGCGTAGCTCTGTTAGTGAATGAAGACTGAAAATGAGACAACTGGCAGACTAACTTGTCGCAACCAAGATAGGAGCAATGCAGACAGCACCAACTTGGGTTTGTAACAGCCAAGTAGCTAGTGCCAGCTGTAGCACGTTAGCCCATGTCTCGCAAACCACTGAATAGAAGTATTCAGCGAGCATCTCGATGTCGGAGCCAAAAAGAGCCATAGCACTAGATTCGTCGGTGCTTGCTAGTGGTAGACTGATCATGTGTTGGAAGACAAGAGCCATGAGACCACCACGGAGCATAGTTGTGGCTCGATATCCTAGATGCTCATATGCAGCTTTTGATACCTGGAGTAAGATATGAGTCCCAGTCTGCGTGTCACGAGCGAACCATCAGCTTACAGCAATCCCGGTAAAGATAATTGCGGTTGCTCCAATTAAGCCGTAACCCATTTTCTGCGCCGATGGGTCGGTCTGCTGCAAGGCAGAGACAACTTTTCCAATTAGAAAAGGCTGGGCAATACCAAATCCCACGACACAAAGCCGGGGAAGGGCGATTGTCGCAATTTCCCAGCGCAGACATTTGATGACCGACAACAGCAGTGCATTCTTTCCACTCTCTCTGTGACGAGCCCACGAGTCTAAGAATCGATCAGCCAATTCTGAGGATAGGAGTTTGCTGTGAACAATAGGCAGAGTATCTCCGGTCAGTAACATAGAATGCCCTTTCCATAGCAGGCCATTTAACCAAATAAATAAGCCCCGACTAAAAGGTCCGCTCAAGGTCTCGGTCGAATGGTGTTTCTCAGACTGCATGAACCATTTGTGCTTTTTGGTATTGATCAGTACCAACAGAAGTAACTTAACGGCTAAAGATGTGGACAGGCAAGCTGGATAGGCACGGGAGCCAGGTAGCAACCAGGCCGTGCGCGCGCGTGCAAGATCCAGGATAATCGTCAGGAACAAATAGGCAGAGGCAAGAAATGATGGCCGGATGGATCGGAAATGCTCGAGATCAACAAGGGCTATAACAACCAGGGCGGATATGAGATCAAGGATAGCACTTGCAAGCAGAATGCGCCCTCCGGCAGGATGCTGTGTTGCAACAAGTACCAGCAATCCAACCTGAATGGCTGAGAAAGTCACAGAGAGAACCTGTGCGGGGAGATCAAGTACTCAGCGTTTGGTTCTTGCTTGAAAGTCAGAGTGGGGTGGGTATACTCACCAGTGTTGCTACACGAAATGCAGAAGAGAGCACTTTGGGTGACTCCTTAGACAACTGAAATAAACGAAAAATAGCCAGTAAGAGGAAACAAGCCGCCGGTAAGATGCTCAGAATACTGGATTCGAAAGCCACTGTGAAATCGAAGCCACTGCGACAGTCTGCTGTAGAAAGGATGGGGCCAAAGTGGTTGTCACCACATGAACTTGTGGCTGGAGTTGAAGCCATTCCAGGTCAGTCGTGAAGTTAGTATAGGAAGAGCGAGAAAGCGCCCAGGGGGGAAATCGTTGGGGCCCTGGTTATCACGCGATCTAGGGCTCCCAAAATCTCTCTTTTCCCTTCTTTTCTTTCTAACGGGGTAGCCTGTCGCGGAGATAACGCCCTATTATTAAGCTAATGGGGCTTCTCTGCCCAAAGCTTATGTACCTTGGCTAGGGGTGATTTTGGTACCCGGTTGTCCCGAACATGCTTAAGCGTTTCTTACTCGTAGCTCTGGAGAGGGTTCCTCAAAGGCAATAAATTGAGCTGTAATAAAGTCTTCATCAATACCAGAGATCTTCGGGCTCCTCTATTAGGAATACACAGACAGTGAGATACTGAAGTCTTGTGAAGTCCAGGGCTCGTAGTCTTATCCATAGAGTTTCCCGATTAGGAAAGGCGGGAGGGTGGACCCGACGGAGTCCGTCAAAGTGGGTCTATCATAGCCAATCAGGTCTCCACTTACACAGACATACTTAAGTATAGATGTCGCAACGGTCCTTCTAAAGTTGGGATTCATCCTACGCTACGGAGTAGATATCGAAATATATGAATAAGCAATGCAAACAGCTAGCATTGTTGCGTGCTGGTCATTCAGCTAAGGCTAGCACAAAATTGGGACCGTCACTTGCCCGTCACTGTCGCCTGTCAATGCCAGCTGCAATGACCTGGGTGAACAGTGGCCTGAGCCATGCATATTCCAGGAACCCGATTTTGTAGGCTGTTCAAGCCATCGCAGTCCGGAATTTTAACTTCCCCTTGAAAGTGATCAACAATCATCTTTTCGCTGCCACTCCTGTCTTTGCGTCACCTCCTTTGCGGAAACGTCACGAACGACGATTGTATGTTGACGTGCGATTGAGGTATAGGATAACTGCTGAATGGCGAGCGTATGTTCAAAATGAAGAGTAAGTGCTGGACAGTGAGCGTATGGTTGAGGTGTGGAGTTGCTTTGGGATACTGGGCGTGCAAGCGAAGTGCATAACCACTGATGAAGCCGAACGTACGGCCACGAGGAGCGATATACTCTAATTCCTCAATAGCTGAAGGGACAGGCAGGCTTCGTACAGGATCAGGTACCCATCGAGGCTCATCAGGATCCCTGAGATCACACTGCTGAGCATGATCTTTGAACTTGCAGTTCGCATAGCATCCAAGCCGTTAATTCCTTTTTCGAGACGGTCCCGCTCCCTGGGGTCAAACCCGAGCAAATCAGGGACACATTCATACCCATTGGGTGCTGGCTCCCGTGAAAATGTATCCACCTTTCTCAAATGAAGCACCAACCCTTTCCCAGAGTCTTCTCGGGCTCCTGGGCTCATATTCTCCGAATCATCCGATTCACCTGCCACAATACGGTCCAAGACATTACTGCACACTGTAATGAACTCATTGTTGCTGAGATACCGACCTCCAGACAGTATGTCTTCGACCTCGTCACTCTTAGCTTGAATGATTCCGGAGAGCGCAGGAGTCAAAGATATCCTCGATAAGATGATCCAAACCCGCCGATTCGAGATCCTCGCAGAATCCTCTGTTTGAAAAGTCCAAGAAAGCGCATTTGAAACTCAAGTGACAGCCCGCAAACGGGTCATGGGGTGTTGGGGGTTTCTGTGGCCCCAGCGCCTATAGGACACTCTTTCTGGATTCTTGAGCTCCATCCCGCGAAAACGACCAGAGGCCCTGAAGGAGGACCCACATGTGTGAATCTCACTCGGCGGGCCTTAATCGACTTCCATTTCCCAGTGCGTTAAGTACTGGACACCCCGTTTGAGTGGGTGTGCTGAAACAGAGACCATAAAGATGGATAGATGAGAGAGCTGAGAGTTCTGCTCCTGAATGCAGGCCCTTATGAAGAATGTTCCTCCTCTCCCCCTCATCACTTCTTCTTCCATGAATCATAGACTCGATGCCGGGGAAAATGAAATCCCGGGTCTGTCATAATCCATGAATGACTAATAGCTAAAATCAACATCACAATACTCATATCATAGGATAAGTAAATGACCTACCTCCAGAACATCCACGTCAAGTTGCTCTTTGGCTAACGGAAGCGAAATCCTGGACACCTTCCCCGACATTTCTTGCCAAAGTATTCTCACCAATGAAGGAAGAAAGTCGGCCTGTATCGTCGTATTGCTGAGAGAATTGATTGTTGTGTATCTATATATCTATCAACAGAATTCGAGAATAGTGTCAGCAAGGTAGTCACATCATTCGAAAGCGGGAAGATGATTTCAGTTGTTTCCATACCATCGAGACGTATCCGGGAATCCGGAGGCATCGGCCGTTCATTTTGTGTCATTTCTTCGCTGGTTTGGGTTGCGAAACGCCAACGACGAGAATAGTTTGGAGGGAAAACTGAAAGTAAGTCCACCTCAGGGTCATCTCTAAGGGCGTCCTGGAGATTGACCGTTCTTTTGTTGAGCTTGGCTGTATCTGTTTCCAGACTTTTTGGTTGTGCGTCCACCTGTTTTTGAAAATAAGAATCAGGAATGAGATCCTTCGAGTTGACTGTCGGATTTATCTCGAGTGCCCTTTCAAGGTCTCTCCCAATGTCTCGATTGCGCTGTAAAGCGGAGGTATCAGAAAACAGGGATGTTTTCATAATGATGGTAGTTTTGTTGCAACTTGATGGTGAACTCCTCGATGTGAATTGGAATCTGGATTCTGCGGGATAGAAGATCGTTGCACCGTTCTCTGCCGAGTGGCTGATTATTGATTGTCAAGGAAACAAAGCAAAGAGAGGTGCATGTGTAGTATACCTACCACTAGAAATAACTTCCCAAGCTAAATGACAACTGACTCATGTTAACGAAATGGTATTTGCTTGACTTGCAAGAGATATGAACCACACATATTTCCAGGTATTTCGCCCTCAAAATGGATGATATAAACTAAGTGAAAAACTCCCGACAACTTCAACGGCCAAACAGGAAACCAAACACTTGCAACACCAGATATGCAACCATTTGGTGCTCTACACCAACGCCACGGCAAACCCCGGACAAACACCCACCGCGCTCAAAAAGAAATGAAAAAATATAAGATAAATGTGAGATATGCGTTATCGTTATGTGAAGATCAGATGAAATGCTGGATTATGAGGCGTCGGGCATCAGCGAGTCACTATCATTGACCATGGATGGCGGGGGGTCGGAGAATAGTCGGTGGCGCGGTTTTACCGACAGCTCGCTGTCGTCGACAGAGCTGAAACCGGGTGTGCTGGAGGCACTTTCGATGGCGTCATCGTATTCTTCTGGTGGTGGGGAGAAGGACCAGACCTGGATGAATTAGCATATGGAATAGTGTGCTGTGGAGCCGAAACATACCTCCATGACAGTACGACCAGATCGACTCGCCATGATAACTGCCTTTTCGTCCTCAAAGGCGACTCGCCAAACCGCCTCAGCAGGAGAAGATAGCTCGCGAAGTAACTGGCCAGTCTGCAGGTTCCAAACCTTGACACGACCATCGCTGCCACCACTGACAATGCGGGTCTTGTCGAATTGCAAACTGGTCACGCTGTTGTCGTGGGCGGCAAGTCGGTGAATGGGTGCCATCTTGGTCAACGACCAGACACGCACAGAACCATCCGAACCACCTGTTACCAAAGTATCGTCCCGCATCTGTAACTGCCCAACCAAAGATGTGTGACCTTGCAAAATGGCATGGCACTGACCGGAGTGTGGATCCCAAATCCGAACACTAGTATCCAAACTTCCGGTAGCTATGCGCCGGCCGTCAAAGGCAATTGCATAAATCTGGCTGAAGTGACCAGAGAGCGTGCGCAGACAGCGACCTTGCGAGATACTCCATATACGCGCCGTGGTATCATAACTACCCGAAACGACCAGATCGCCGTGGATCGCAAGACATCTGACACTAGCCTGGTGGCCGACAAGAACGTTGCGACAGGTACCAGTGGCAAGGTCCCAAATGCGGAGTGTTGTGTCTCGCGATCCTGAGATAGCAGTGTTTCGATCAGACATCTTCAAGCATCGGACAGTTGAAGTGTGGCCTCGAAGAAGGTGGATTCCAGCCCTATCACACGTTAGTATTGCCTATTACCCATGGAATCGGTTGTCCTACCCTGTAGCCATGTTCCAAACTCGAACTTCGCGATCACAGCCTCCGCTGACTAGGATATCATCCCATGGTACCATGGCCCAGACTCCCATAACATGTCCCTGGAGAGTCTTCTGGTTGTCTCCACTTGTGTCATATACATGGATTTTAGCATTGTCCAAGGCCACCACGATATACTTCGGAGTGAGATGAAGACTTGTGACCACGCCCTGATCCGGGGTGATATGGCGCTGGGTGCATCGACCACCTTTATTCCAGGCGGACTCGACCATGTATTTTTGCTTGAACTGTGAGCGATAAGAGACTGGCCTGGTGCGACGTCTTCTGGAAGGAAAGCTCGTCGGAGGCAACCATTCTCCAGACAGAGTGCGGGGAAGTTCCGGGGCGCTCTCAGTGCCGTTTGACGCGGTCAAGCGCCTCTGCATCCCGAAGGTGCGTGCGCCGGGGGCCGAGTCCACCGGATGGGCGGTGAAGGGGTCGACGAGGTCCCCTTCCTCTTCCAGGACTCGACGCACTGAATATGCATGTTTTTCGCATAGATTTTTCCAGGTGATGTCATCGTTGAGTAGTTCTCGCCAGCGTCTCGAAACCTGCGAGGCTCTGGCCAGAGTTTTGGGGTCGTCGATAAAGGAGAGAACCTAGACAGGGTTAACATATCACTCTTGAAACCGTAGAATTCAAACCAAACATACCCTTAAGCATAACTCATTGGGAAATACTTGGAATGGGTCCTTTCTCAATCGAGGGCCCACGTAACTCGACACGAAGCTTAACTGTTGACTGTCGCATACGTCCAAAAGACCCTCCAGGAGTTTTTGTTTCCGGGCATTCGACAATGTACTGAAATGGATGCGAAGATTCAACAAGAAGCCATTCTCCTCATCGTCGGCCGTGTGCCAGTTCGGGGGTCTCTGATGGGGGGTCGGACTCGGCGCTGGTGTCGGGGGTGATGCAGGCGCCGAGGGCAGTAGGTTGGCGGGTAAAGGGGTGCCGACTTTCTTGGTGCTGAGGGATCGGGAGGGAGTCGAGGTGAAGGAGGTGACCGAGTCGTGGGATGCTGGATTGAGAGTGTCCAACTGATCGGATGTATGCGCATTCAGCCCATCCAAGTTATCGAGTGAGGGCGAACGAGGATCCATGGCGGGGGAACAGGGGGTGAGACCGCCACGACGAAATATCACCCTCCTCTTCGGTAGCTACAAGGTCTTTATCGCGACGCACTGGATCTCGAATACCGAGTCGGCATGAAGTGTCGGGATTATGTCGGGATGAGAGGGAGGCTGGCCGAGGGAAGGGGAGGTGAGACGAGAAACCGTCCGATGTGAATGCTGTTTTTATAAGTAGAACCTGAGTCCACCTTTGCTCCGATGAAATCTCCGTGTAAAAAAAAGACAAATGACGATATGAAGAATAAGGAACATTCCAAGCGGAGATGTCGTGACCATCTCTGACAAAGCCGCCAAGCTCTTCTCCGGACTCGATCCGATATGGGGGGGTTTTCATGCATTCGGTAGGGATCTTCTCTCTTTACTCCATCTTGTGCTGTACGGAGTACGCAGTACCTGTCTTTTTCTCCCTTTTTTTTTTTTTTTGCCAGCCGTTGATATTTGTTTTGCCTTTCAATTTACACCTTTCGCCTTTGCCTTAATGGCGAAGAGGCAACGAGGCGAAAGCGGAGTGAGTATAGCCCGAGACACGAAGACTAGCGCAGGCAAACTTCGCTCACCCACGGGATACGCATGCGGCTCGCAGTGATGGACCATGGAACAACTCCGGGGATTCGATGATACAGACTGACGAGACAGATGTTGTCATCCGGCGTGAATCACCCCAAATGACCGGGGTCATCTGCTCCTTAAATAGTCCAAGTGACGCTACGTAGATGTGATCGTGAAAACCCATGCAATTATGATGGAACACCAGTTATACAAATCTAATTCCTTTCTAAGGCATCGCCAAGCCATGTTTCGCAACAAATACCCGACTCAAATGTGATACAGTGCTCAATGAGCGTGTCCCAGTTGCAGGAACAGAGGCAGGATCATACCCAGAACGGACGCGATCAAATCCCTCATGGATTTGTCCGAGCCATTCTGGTCGCGGTCACCGTATCCATTGATGGGCAACTCGCGCGGGGAGGACCCAGGGCCATTCTCTTGCATCGTGTGCATCGCAACATACCTGGGGAAGGTCAGTAGGGGAATCTACCTACCAGGTAGGTACCTAGGTAGGGTTCAGGGATGGAACTCACAAGAAAGTGCCACCGGAGAAAAGCAAAAGCATTCCAGTTCGCCAGAGAGTACCCGCCTCGTCGGCACTGGAAGATCCCATCATCTGCACAAAAAGGAAAGTAGCCAAGGCACCAAGCGGGGCCGCAAGACTGAAGACCAGCAGATGCGCCCTGGCGGTGCGACTCGATAGCCCCTGCTTGAGCAGAATCGACGTCAGTCCAAAGGACGCTGGCGCTTTATGCACCATGATCGCCAAGAAGATAATGAAGCTCAACCCGGTATCGGAACTAGAGGCCCCCAGAGCGATACCGTCGGCCGCGGCGTGGATAACCAGTCCGGTGGTGGTCGCAAAGCTGTGCCCGCGTCGGGAGTGGTTAGGGTCTAGCAATCCACCCTCGCGCGAGGGGGATGAGCCCCGTCGTAGTCCAGATCCAAGATTATCAAGGGAGATATGGTAGGGCGTGCGGTCGTTCTTGGTAGGGGCGGCGAATTCGGGGAGCTTGTCGACCAGGTACATCAAGATGAAACCGCTGATGAGGGCGATTCCAATCCACGCGTGCGGGGAGTTTTCTTCATCTTCGTGGGTTGAGTCGTTGGACTTGTCGCTCGCGGGGTCCTCCTTCCGAACGTAGAGCGTTTGCGACTCGGAAAACTCGTCTCTTACCAGGAGGTTCGGGACAGGAGTCGCGAGATCTGAGGCGCTGTTTTCGCTGGGACCAAATGTGGCCACGGTCGGGGCCTGGTACTGCCAGTTCACGGTGGTTTCTCGGGTACTGAGCTGTTTGCGACTGCGGGCATTGGCGCTGTAGAGAGTTTCGATTCCCTCGGGAATGATCACGATTAAGGATGTCCCCACCAACACGCCCATGCCAATCGACGAAATCAGTCGGAGCTGTGAGGGGGAGAGCGTAAACGCGAGAGGTAATGAGCCGACGACAAAAGACCTGTTAATCTGATTAGCCCATCGAATTGACTCGTGTCAGGTAACCCACGTAATTGCCATCACAATGCCCAAAGCGAGCAAAGTGAATAGTCCCTCCATGATAAGCTTGGTTGTGTCTATAAGCCTTCAATCATCGCGGAGAGATGAGGTGGTAAGAAGAGGCCAAGGTGGAAACGTCTGGGTCCCGCAGACCCACGTTCAGGTACGGAGGTACCGCTTTTGAAACATATGCCCGAGTAGTATAGGGGGAAACCCTTCAAAGGCACTACAGGTTTTAAGGGAATGATATCTAGCCTAACCTTGCATGTTGCATTCCTTTCATATTTCTGTCGCGATCTCGATATGCTTTCTACCCAAACACCTAAACACCAAATGCTCCGATGCTCCGATAATTTGGATATTACATGCAACTTTAAGATACTCTCTCACCTCAGATCTGGTCATTTCAGATCTGCTCCTCAAACCCACTGTACTAGCGAGCGTCCTTGGGGAGTCGAAGCCCCATGTAGGGCATGTACCGTGAGGGATGCCACCAGACGAAAAGGGCCACACAAGGGTAGATGCAAAGAGCATCGAAGATGTACAAGGGCCATTCATGGGTATTCAAGTATCCGGTTGTTCCCTCTGTGAATTCCACTAGTCGATAAATGGACCGAACCTAGAGCTAGTTAGCGATTGAAGGATGGTCAGTACACGGGACAACTAACCAGAATCAAAATCGTAGTGAAGTTAACGACTCGTAACAGTGTAGGCCAATGCTTATCCTTGGCAATACCGCCAACAATATGCTCTTTCTCACTAACGCTCTCATACCGCTCCCTAACAAATTCTGTGAAGCGCTTCGAGGTGAAGTTGAAGCGGACGGCAGCAACGGCGAAAAGACCAAACGCTGCCAGCTGGACGATCACGCCAATCTGGGCGACATGCTTGCCGGTGTTGAGCTTGTCTCTGGCGTTTTTGTCGTTGTCGTCGACTGACGTGATCATAATTGCACCGCCCATCTGGAGCAACAGGGCAACAATGTCGAATCCGACGAAGAGAGGCGTGATGAACCGAGGCGGCACCCAGCACAGCTTGAAGGTCCGTTTCTCCCGGGGTACAATCAGGAACAAGATGCGGCTGAAGATGATGTAGCAACATGCGGCCATGAGGACGGGGGCAAGAATGACCAGACCAAACTGAACGGAATAAGATGGCTTGTCGGTTACATCCTTGACTGAAATGCATCGACTGATCCAGCCGGCTGCCTCCACTGATCTCTCCGTTAGCATTTGTTAGGTAAATAGGGACGTTCACGTACTGGCTGCTGCTACCACCATGATAGCCCAAATCCAGGCCCTGTATCGAACCCATTGTACCAGAGTCCCAATAAACGCGATGGTGTACAAGACGGCGGCCACAACAGCTGGGGCTAGAGAGGGATTGTAGCGATAGTAGGAACGCATTTCAGGCTGCGTGGCCCGCTCGATCAAACCCATGTTGACCTAGAGTTGAGTCTCAAGTTGAGTCTAGAGTTAAGCGTAGTCCGTATATCTTTTCAGGGCACAAGTCACACCCTTTAAGGTGTCCCCACGTTTTTTGAATAAACCGGGAAAGGACGTAGAATCAGACCGATGTCCGGTTCCCGCTTGGCCAGCCTTAAACGATAAAAAATAAAGCTGGGCACTTCATCTTGGCGCCATGAAACTACTCGTACTCGCAAGATGTTTCTGGTTCCGATCGCGATGCGATTTGGAAACACAGCCACATGGCCCGATGCCACCAATGAGAGGAGCTCATCGCCAGAGAAAATTGATGAATTGCATACCCGATTAGGCAAGGTTGCCAAGACTGACAGGTTCCACTCGAATCTAACCTTGGAACACAACTCGTGGCTACGAGCCTACATGAATTCTTACGAACTCATTGCCCTTTTAGAGATGTTCTGTACTTTATTCTGAACAATGCCTTTTCATGGCATCCCCAGCAAAAATTGCTCCAGTTGCCGGGGAAGACGAATCAAAGTGAGTACTGCGTACTCCGTACTCCGTACTCTGATCGATATCCGACTAACAAGATAGTGTGACCGGCTTGAACCGATTTGTTCACAATGCAAGAGAGCGGGAAAGCCATGTGGTGGCTACCGGGATCTGAGCTCTCTTATGTTCCGCAGTGAGAATGAGAGAGCGGCTCAACTCAGTGCCGAAGCGAAGGCCAAATCAAAAGCTCGTCGCAGACTAGAGGATGGGCTGGCTCTAGACTCGGACTCCACATCGGAATCAAGAGACCCTTCGCCAAAAGCCCTAGTTCGATATAATCGAGTGCAAACGTCATCAAGCCCCATTGTCGCCATACCCACCCCTTTAGAAGACCAGGGTCTCAGGTTCTTTATTAATCGCTTTGTGACGCCGATGCCGATACGGGTGGGGGGTTGTCTTCAGGTACAGAATGTGCAAGACACTCTCTTTTTCAAGGAGATTGATTATGATTCGTCTATTCGGGATGCGGTCGTCTCGGTTGGCCTTGCTGCCATAGCCAATGTCAACCGTGACAGGTCATTGCGGATCTTATCACGAGAGAAACATGCACGGGTCATCAAGGCCGTGCGAGAAGCAGTGGGAGACCCCACTCAAGCTAATCCAGATCGAACGTTTCCTTTAATAGTCATGTTGAGTCTATATGAGGTACGCTATCCTAGCCACTCACATCTGGGCCCAAGTAAATTGACTCTCACAGATGGTGAGCTGTGCTCCCAACCAACTGGATTCCTGGATGGTGCATCTAGATGGTGCTGCTGCATTACTCAAGCAATCGACATTTCGCAAATTTCTCACGGCCTCGGACCACAGGGCGCAATTGGGGTTCTATTTTGTTTCGATAGTCAAATATTTCTCTAGGAGAGATGGCCACCCAGATACATTAAATTGGTCTCGGGATCACATGGCTGACGCTCCATCCGAGCTGTTACCGGCAGTCAATCTCATCGACATACTGACCAGATTCATGAAATATGATGCATCTCTACGACACGAAAACCCCGGCCCCAGAGCCATCATCAGCTCGGCATTGATGTTCGAAGCTGAACTCCATGACTGGGAAGCCAGTTTACCTGAAAGTTGGGACTTTGTTGTCGAAACATCCGGCACCCATGCTCGTACCTTTTACGGTCAGTACCATGTGCACAAGGACGCATGGGTCTCAAGAATCTACAATCACTATCGCTGGGCACGACTACTCTTCAATGAAATAGTTGTATCCACGATATCACGTTTGAAGCAGCCCACATCTAAAGATGCAATTCGGCGACAACAGTCATTGGAAACGATATCGCGCATGGCAATCGGAATATGCACCGGGGCTGCAAGTCATGAGGCAATATCTCAGCGGGGGCTCACTTCCGAAAACCCATCACCCCTGCCGCCTCTCAATGGTGTCTTCATGATGCTGTTCCCATTGGCGATGGCAGGAGGCGCGGCAGGAGCTCCAGATCATGTTCATGATTGGGTGGTTGGGACGCTTGAGCAGATAGGATGTACCATGGGGATTCAACGGGCGTTCGAGATGATACCCCTGCTGAAACAATCTCATGCAAAATGGAAACAAGAACAGAGGCAATGGGAGCAAGCACATATGCTTTTATAGAAGTTACAAGGTATAAACTTGACTGAAACGACGTGTTGAGTCCTCATTGTGGACCTGCAGCAGACACGAGCGAGTACAATATACACATCTCCCAAAATTAGCACTCTGTGTAATTAGCACCCCTAGTGGGACTCTCAGATCAAACTCTTATAATTTCGCAATAGTGAACTGTGTAAAGTGCTGAAGTCCGTAGTAAAAGAGCTCTATAGTCAAGGTGCGGCCGCTAGTCCATATTAGGTCATACTGAGGCGCGTCTCACTTCGCGTCACCAAAGCTTTTGAATCTCCCAACGACTTCACATTACCAAGTCACACCTTCAAAATGGCGAGCGAAGCTTCATGTATGGAAATTTCCAGACAACACCCCCCATAGACTAATGGGAAGCTAATTGACATGTACTTTAGGGTCTTGCGACGCCAACGATGCGATCCATATCACTATCGTTCAGCCGGGCGACAAGAAGCCCAAAACACTATCGGCATTCCATCCGCAGTTCACCTATCCCATCTTCGGTGATGAGGAACAGATCTTCGGCTACAGGGGACTGATTATCCGCTTGCGCTTCGCGGCCCATGATATGCGCCCTCACGTTCACATTTCCTACGACGAAAAGTTCAAGAGCATCGGCGACACAAAGGCTTTGAATCTGCTCGAGACATTGAAGCCATTTGTTCAGGAAGGTGAGATAGCATTCAATGGCGACTGGCGCGATAGCAGCTAACCAATCCGGTGCAGAGGCCTTCGCCAATCTTCCCGATTACGAGAAAGCCGTTCAGAGCGACCCCGATGCTAAGGACTTCAAGCCCCCGGGTGAATTTGTCATTGGATACGATGTCGATGACAGGAAATATGAGGTCTGGGCCGGATCACTGTCAGACCCCGCAGTGCGCAAAATCCTGGATCGCATGCAGGTCCTCGTTTCTCTCTTCATCGAGGCAGGAACTCCTCTGGAAACAGATGACCCAGAATGGACACTTGACAGATGGATGGTGTACTTTGTGTAAGTGCCAAATCTGCAATATACGATATGCGACTAATCCGTTATAGATATGAGAAAGTGACACCTCCCACCCCGACCGCGTCGTCATATTCAATCGTCGGATATGCCACAACATACCGCTATTGGTACTACCACCGCGACCAATCTCAAGCTCCTGCAGTGAAGGACTCCGAGTTCCCGGTCCCAGAAGTCAACATTGCTGAACTTCCAGCCCGAATTCGGATTGCCCAATTCCTCATTCTGCCTTCCCACCACCGTGCCGGCCATGGCACCCACCTATACACCACCATCCATGCAGCCTGCATCGCAGACCCAACTATTCTGGAACTCACCGTTGAAGACCCCAACGAGCAATTCGACGCGCTCCGCGACACAGCCGACTACTGTCTCCTGCGACCTGAGTTCTTGAAACATAATGTGAACCTCAACCCGGACCCCCATGGGGCCTTTTCTCAAAAGAAGCGTCCTCGCAACGTTCCCACCTCCGCCCTCATTCCCACCAAACTTCTCGCCGACATTCAGAAATCATTCAAAATCGAATCTACTCAGTTCGCCCATATCTTAGAGATGTACCTCCTCGGCCAGATCCCTAAAACCCATCGTCTTGCTGGTGGTACCAACCTCGCGCGACTCTTAATCAAGAAGTATAAGGCTGAAAATGAGGAGGACCGTCGCTATTACTGGTGGCGCATGTTGACCAAGCAGCGTCTCTTTAAGAAGCACAAAGAACTTTTGAGTGAATTGGAGCTCCTGGATCGAGTGGAGAAGCTTGATGCCACAGTTCAGAATGTGGAGGAAGGCTACGAGCTTACACTAGATGCGCTTGAGGGCCGTCTGCCAGAGGGTGAATCAGACGGGGAATCGGACGAGAAAGAAGTTCCCACTGGCAGCCGAGACAAGCGTGTGAAGCGCAAGCTCACAGTTGAGGATGACGATGAGGAAGACGACACAGAGCTGGCTAAGCGACCAAAGATTTGAGCATTGCCGGGCACTATCAATCTCTGTACTATGTAATTTACCTTGTGTCCACGGTGCTTCGTGGGAAAAATGAATCTCTTTCTTTCTTTAAACATCTTTTTTTAAATTACTGAAATAGAAGCTTTTGGCCATGTTTAATATTTACTCTTCAATATAAGTTCAATAATTTCCACTGGGACATGTTGATCGAAAACTGCTGCATTGATAGATCGCACATCTCCAGGGCTCGGCACTTACCTTTTTCCGGATCATCGCATCTCTTGGAGCTTGATTGATTCCATTGCTACGGAGTATTGTCAATCAGAATAACTCAAATAGGTCCCTTCCTTGACCTCTGACCCTTCGAATTCTTCCAGAGTCTACCGACTTTGGTTCTACACCGCGCCCGCATTCTTTTAAACGTTGTGCGCCAACCGACCCTCCCACCTCATCTCGTCGATCGCATTTCAATATGGTGAGCTCCAGTCCCACCCAATCACCAAACACCAAGTCAGAAACCATACTAATCCTTCCCCTCAAAAGCTCCCTCTCGGCCTCCTCACAGCCGCCCAGGGCCACCCCATGCTGGTGGAACTCAAGAACGGCGAAACGCTGAACGGCCACCTAGTGACCTGCGACAACTTCATGAACCTGATCCTGCGCGAAGTAGTGCAGACAAGTCCTGAAGGCGACCGCTTCTTCAGATTACCTGAAGTCTACATCCGGGGCAACAACGTAAGCCCTCCTTCGGATTCGAGCCCCGCTCTTTCATCATATATCATGTACTAACAGAGCCCAGATCAAATACCTGCGTGTGCCCGAAGAAATCGTCGATATCGTCAAGGAGCAGCAACAGAATCAACCACAAGGTCGTCGGGGCGGTCGAGACGGTGACCGTGGTCGTGGCCGTGGTGGTCGCGGTGGACGTGGTCGTGGTCGGGGACGAGGCGGGAACCAAGCTTAAGCCCTTTCACGGTTTAAAGAAGGCAATTGAGATACCCCGGAGGAGACGGAAGGTCGCTCGGAGGTCTGGAACGGTTCGAGAGCATGGCCGTGGCGTATCTGGCTCTGTATTTTCGCGGGATCTGGGTCACTTGGTTGATTGACAGCTACATTTTCAATACTATATTGCAAAAACCCAGACTCTATCTGCTCCTTTCTTCCAATGGTGTACGGACTGCGTAGAATGTAGGAAGTATCAAGGCGAGCGCTTCAATTCGATAACATCACGTGATATCAAACGCCATTTCAAATCCGCGGAGGTTAGCTCGAGACCGCTTCACAGATTCGGCCATGTCGCCACGGGCCCTAGTCCTCGATGGACTGTGGTATTCTCTATGTCCGTCATTTACAGCGCTGAGCCTTGGCCGCTCAGTATATCCCAAATCCAAGGGACGAACCTCACGAACAACGTTGCCTTCGATCGCTGCCGCAAGCTCGCCTGCCCGCCGGTGCTATAGCACGAGCGGCGACAACCCTGAGCCTCAAACTGAAGCTGCGCATGAATTCAGGCAGAATGAACTGCATTCAAATAAGCACAATAGCGAGCCCGACGCCCACGGGCCTGGAGAAAGGACAAACACGCGGAACACCCGAAAACCTCTCTCTCGAACCCACAAAGTGCAAGCCGATCTCTTGAAGTGGACGAACGACGGATTAGAAACACGGCTACAATACGTCATGGACAAAAAACCGAATATTCGACACATAACACAAATTCTTCGGCTCCTCATTCGAGATCGCCATGTGCAGCCCAATGCTCGACACTATAAAGCACTTATTCTCGCCAACACCGACAATGAACGTGGTTCACCGCAGTTAGTGCGCGGCTTACTGGAGGAAATGGAAAGCAATGGTATTACAGCAGACTCTGGCACCCTCCATGGTGCATTACAGGTAAGGACATCTGAAATGTTGAATCCAAGCCGAAGCTCACTATGTCCAGGTCCTCGCCGTACACCCGGATTATCTGCTCCGACAAGAAGTATTGGACAAAATGCGCGACCGATGGCTGACACTCAGCCCGGCGGGGTGGCATTTCGTGGTGGCGGGTCTGCTACGCGAGAATCAGATCGAGCTCGCGCTCGAGCATGTCGCATTGATGGAACGGAAGTTCATCTTTGTCCAGAATTGGCTACACAGTATCATCATCTATACGCTTTGCGACCACGGCGAGTTAGACGAGGTGTACAAGTTGATGCAGGCTCGGGTCGAGCAGGGCCATGATATGACGACACCGCTGTGGACGCATGTGTTGACGATGGCGGGTGTCCATGACCACTTCCCGCTGGCGCACTATGTGTGGCGTCGGATGGTTGAATTGGGTTACATGAACCCGCTTATTCCAGTATGCGATGACGTCCTTCGAATGGCAGCCAAGGCTGGGGATACTGAGACGGCCAAGTCTGTTGTCCGGTACCTTGTTGAGGGTGGGATGGGACTTGACCATGCTCAGTATTCGAGAGTTGTGGAAACGCACGCGGCAGCAGGTGACCTTGCTGCGGCGTTCGAAACATTGTGCACTATGCACGAAACACAGATCCCACTAGCGGATAGTTCGACCGATTGTCTTCTTGCGTACATGATCCAATCTAAAGTGGATCGGCGGGAAGTATGGCAGATGCTGAAGCGGTTGAAGAATGAGAAACGGAGCTTGCCTATTCACTGCGTTCGTGTTGTGGCTCAGCTCTGTGAGCATGATGCCCACTCTGATCCATCGGTGGTGGACGATGGAGTCGGGTTCTACAAGGAGCTCTACACTGTTTGTCCCGAAGGAGCGGACGTTCAAATCTACAACACACTAATTCGGATGTGCCGCACGGCCCGCAACCGCGAGTCGGGGATGTTCCTCGTGAAAGAGATGGCATCACTCGGGGTGATTCCGAACGGGGGCACGTTCGAATCGATCATTTTGATGTGTTTGGACGCCGGGAATTTCCGATCCGCTTTCCTTTATTTCCAGGATCTGATCAAGCGGGAAGCGGCATTGAGTGCTGAAACGCAGGGGGAAATTCGCAGTATCTGCGCAGGATCCGTGGACGAATTTGCCATGCGGCTGCAGTATCACCCTTACGTCCGCGACGACGTGCGAAAACTCGATGAGGAGGTCCAGCAGCAACGGGAGAAAGAGGCCAATGAGAGGGGTCGCCACCCTATTCCTCCGGCCGTTCGAAGGTTGCGGATGTCTGATGATCAACGAAAAGAGTTCAACAAGGAGCGTCGAAAGCGGAAACGCCGTCGTCTCGCGATTGAGCGCAATATGAAAGAGGGCAATGAACTGCCAAGAGAGTGATTTCATTGCCAAGTTGTGCCAAGCACTTGCGCATGATTATCAGCCGTTCTCCCGTTGGTCTTGTACACTACTAAGGAGTGCACTCTATGTAACTATATCCTCCGTACCATTTTACTACTTCCAAATCTGGAGTACTCAACCAACAACCTTTGAACTTTTGAATTCCATTTAGCCGTTGTAAAATCTTGTCTTTGAACTTCAAGTAGTACCATGGGTCTTTCAACCTCGGTGCCTATAAATATCGTCTCCACATGCTTGAAACATACAGGGACGATCGCTGGGGGCGAATGTCGGGAAGTAAGACTTTTTACCTGATCGTCAAACAACGACTGATTGATGAGGAGACGGGTAATCTATTGAGAACAGGGACCGAACTCAATTGTGGACTAAGTAAGAGTAGCACAGATGAAGTATGCCCAGAATGATGGAGCAAAGGATTAGATTTCCCCTTGCCAAGCATCCTGGGCAGGGACCACTGACTAACTCCCAATACTGGGGTTTCCAAGGTTATATAACTCCCAGCCTCTTTCCCCCTTCCTTCACTATTCACACATATTTCCATTGCAATTCCAGTTCACAGTACATTGAACAATAATACCTAATCATGCAATTCACACTTCCTCTTCTCCTTGCTGGCCTCGCCACCGCTCTCCCCTCCGCTGCCAAAGTGAACACAATCAGCGACGAGGTCATCTGGCGCGTTTCCAACCTCACAATCGGCTGTTCCCAAGGTGGCTGTATCTTCGAGTACGACATCGCCGGCCGTCCCAACTCTGAGACTCCTGCCTTCCGCACCCACTGCAGCGGCCCCGAGAAGGAGGAAATCACCTGTGACAACCAGAACATCACCACTACCGTCACTCCAGCTGGCAACCCTGTCTGGAACGTCGATGTCACTCACCGCTGGATGACCTGGTTGGACCCTCAGTCTCTGGCTACCTGGTACCAGCAGGGCTCGAAGAATGTCTCTGTGCCTGACCATAACCCTGTTGCCTTTTACTTCAAGCCTACCAAGGAGTACGGCGTTGCTTAGGTGATCTTCAGTGGGAAATTTGAAAGGATTTGGGATTTGGAGGACCTAATTTAATGTATTTGGGGTCCGAAATACGCGATGTCTGGCGTTATGAAAATACTGTACTTATGAGTCTGGCACTGTACAAATGAAATTGAACATACAATTACCATAAACAATTTCCTTGAACAATATGAAGTATAGCAATATTTACCTGTAGACCTAGGTTAGTATAACTAACTAGGTAGGTAGCCAAGCAACAGAAGAATGCAAGACACGATAACTTATCTTGATTAGCCGGTGACATCATAGCTGCGCCTCTTCCAAGTCGAATATATACAACTTCACATTCTACGTACATTTTGCATTCAATTCTATTGCACTTCTTCTTGAGACTGTGCTATACTCATACCAGCACAGCCAAGCTTTCAATGGTAAGCCCCTGCAGCATGCATCCGTGTCCATCACTAACCACCCCAGTCCTCAATTCTCCGCCAGATCGTCGCAGGTCCAAGACAACAGCACCCAGAAGCAGGCCTCGATCTATGCTATGTAACAGACAACCGTAAGGCTCCACCCCCACAACCAGAACAAACCTAACAACCACAGTAATCGCAACCTCCGGTCCCTCAGGGACATACCCACAGCGCGCGTACCGCAACCCCCTCGACGCGCTAGTCAAGTACCTGGACACAAAACACGGCTCGAACTGGTGTATTTGGGAATTCCGCGCTGAGGGAACAGGGTATCCAGACTCAGAGGTGTATGGGCGCATTCATCACTTCCCCTGGCCGGACCACCACCCGCCGCCGTTTGCGCTGATCCCCAATATCGTGGGGAGTATGCGCAACTGGCTTCATTGTCTTGATGATCATGGGAATAAGGTGGATGTGGATGGGGAGAGGGTCGCCGTGGTGCACTGTAAGGCAGGTAAAGGGCGCAGTGGGACAGTCGCGTGCGCGTACCTGATCAGTCAGGAGGGGTGGAAGAAGGAAGATGCATTGCAGAGATTTACGGATCGACGCATGCGCGTCGGATTCGGGAATGGTGTTAGTATCCCCAGTCAGTTGCGGTATGTTGGGTATATCGACCGGTGGGCGAATCAGATGGGGAAGCAATATGTTGAGAGGCCAGTTGAGATTCTGGAGGTTCATATATGGGGATTGAGGGATGGAGTCAAGGTTGCTGTGGAGGGGTATGTGGAGGAAGGGAAGAAGATCAAATGTTTCCATTTGTTCCATCGGAATGAGCGTACGATCATTGAAGATGGGAAAATGGATCAGAGCAAATCCACAGATCCCTCTTCTGACTCCTCGCAAGCGGATCTTTCATCACCTGTCACACCTGGAACTGTCCCAGCTATGATTTTCAAGCCTCACAAACCGCTCATTGTCACCAGCTCAGATGTCAACATCGACCTTGAGCGTCGCAGCAAAGCCTCATACACTGGTTTTGCAATGGTGACTTCCATCGCACACGTTTGGTTCAATCCCTATTTCGAAGGCGGATCAGAGCACGACTCTGGCGTCTTCGAGACGGAATGGGATGCCATGGATGGGATCAAGGGTAGTGCGCGAAAGGGCATGCGCGCATTAGACAAGCTCAAGGTTGTCTGGCGGTATCCATCAGAGTCCCAGGCAAAAGGGAAAGGAAAAGAAGTCCCAGCTGAAGGGAGACCCATCAGTGAGCCCCAGCCTGGTGATCCCATCCATGAAAGCGATCCGCCCGACTGGCGTGGGGTTTCAGACGTGAAGAGTCAGGAGAACATACTTCCCTCTCCTTCTGTGACCTCTCCCTCTGTGAAGTCTTTGACATCGAAGAAGAGTACTACCAGTATCTCGGATAAGACGAAGGAGTTGGGTCATATCATAGAGAAGGAGCTTGGGCTGCGAAAGCAGACGGATGATAGCAAGGATGTTAGTCTCGCTGGGAGTGATGATGAGACGAGAATTATCACTGATGATGAAGGGAAGAAGGTTAAAGTGAAGAAAGATCAGGATGGTTTGGAGGGAGTGAAAGCACATTATGGAGAGGGCAAAGATGCGACTGATACCAGTGCGAACTAGTGTACATACTGCATTTCCAAGGTTGGATTGCCATTTTGTATAAATACATGAATTTTATCTCATATTCGATGACATATTCAGTGTCGGAGCCTCTAGAGCTACATTTTAGATATGTGTGAACTCGTATAAATTATAGTTTATTGTGTAGTTGAATATCCAGAAAGTGCGCTGAGCCTGTGTAAATGCGAGGCGGACCGACGTTGAAGCATAAACATATCTAGATGCCATATTTATGTATGCCAGACGAGATTGAACCGAGATAAAAAAAAAGGCAGAGAGTAAAGGGAAAGAGAGAAAGGAAAGACAATGGGTATGTGAAACAAAGCGAAAAGGGCGAACGTGGAGGGAGACGGAATCACAGCGGAACGAAGCCTTCCAACTTCTTGCGGTGTTCTTGGGCTTCCTTCTGCAATCGATCAGACTTCTTGCGCTCATAGACAGCGCGAACAACACGGCGAGTCTGCTCTTCACCCTGCGAGAAATTGGCTCTGGCAAGGCCAACAACCGAATCAATTTGCTCGGGCGTGTAGATGAAGTTCCAGGTTGAGAGGAAGTCATCCACATCAGGATCGATCGAACTAGGACGGGGCGCGAGTGGCTGCTCCGGGTCCTTAGTTTGAGAAGCGTCTTGTCTTAAGGATTGGACAGCTGCCCGAGGCCGAATCTGGGGCTTTGGAGGGACGTCGGGCGCATTAGGGTTGGGAATGAGAGGGAAGTAGACCACAGCAATACCGGCGTCTGGGCGCATGAGATGGAAATCGGCGTCGGAGTGGTCTTCGCGCTGGGGGTCGAAGAGGCGCTTGGATGGTGGAGGTTCTTCATCCGTGGTGCGTTCTTCTGTGCTCCCAACCCAGACATTACAGTAGCCAAGGTCTGTGCCGCCCTGTGGTTTCTGACCAGTGGCTTGCTTGTTGTCCCTGGAGCCTTCAATCTGGGCCTGTGAAAGTTTTTCGTTCAATTGTTTGTCGGTGATGTTCTGAGGCTCCCGTAGGGCACTCTCGGCATCCTCGATGCTTGCAGATTTAGGCCATCCAGCGCCGACGGGCCAACCCTTGATACCACGTTGACGGGCATATCCATCAACTACGGAGAGCCAGTTCTCCTGCTTGACGTCCGCAGAGGCATCGAATGCGACAATTACGTCCACATCACGGCCCGGGCGAATCAGCGGGTAGATTGGGAGGTTGTTGCTCATTCCTGCATCCATAAGGCGCAGATGATCATCGTGAAAGATGGATTCTGGACAGGAGGCTGGTAGTTGATCTTTCATTCCCTTGACATAGTTGGGAATTCCCGCAGGATCAATGGGATGAACCTTGATCAAGTCTTGGTTTTTGCCTTGGATGAGCGAATCAATTCCGCCGAAGCCAGCCAGCCCTTTCACTAGGGGCCGGATCTCCTTGTAGTAATGAGATAGAGTGGCACAGAAGGCACTGCCCCAAACTCCCATCAAATTGGGAACCCTCACTTCCGGAATTGGGAGATTATCAGCTGTCACCTCCGATCGACCAGCGTCGAAGTGACGTCCAAGTGCCCAGGTGGGGATTCCAGCATTAAGCTCTTCACAGAAGAATTCGTAGGGAGTGAACTCAAACCATTGGAACCAAGCTTCCTCTTGCGATTTCTTCACCAGTTGCTCAGGCGTGGGTTGCTCTTTGGCGTCTTCATTGGATTCGAGGATTGGAATCTCGTGTCGTACTGCCGTGTAGATAGGAAGGGGGTGGGATCCATTGGCCAGGTTTACTCGTTGGTTTGATAGTTTGAAATCCCTGTCTGAGACACCCAATTCTCCTCGGGGAACCAGCAGTCTCGCTGCCAGTAACATCCCGTAGATATCAACCAACCCAAAGTCAGCTCCAGGGTCACCCTTTAGTTTTTCCACAAATCCACTGAGAAGGAATTTATTTGTCGGAGCCGTTGTGAGTAGATCCAGAGCAGCTGGTGGGAATGCAATATGAACACCAAGGCGATTCTTCAGGTGGTCAACAAGCTTGTCGAAGTCCCTTTGTGCAATGGAAGAATGGTAGAGAGTCTGTAACCAACAGCTACCGCTGACACCGGCTGTATATGTAACACAGTCCCACAGGCCTGCTTCCTGGGCTGCAAGATAAGATCCAGTACCCGCGACCAGAGCACGTAGTCCACCGCCTGAGCCGCAGACCGCGATGATGGGTACATCGTCGGGATGAATCTCGTCTTCGGGGATATTGAGATAGGTGGATAATGCCTTGACAACCTTTCGCGATCTTTGCCGCCTGAACTCTTGCTCCTCAGGGCAGAGGTTCCCACTCACGCGTACCTCGGCATCACGGAGAATCTCAGGATTGATGTCTGGATCATGTGCCTCCTTCCAGATGTCATCTGCTAGGGAACCCGGAGCCAAAGACAGTTCCCGCTGAAGCTTCTGGACAGTAGCTGGGACAAATCGAGTCCAATCCGGAATGATGTAGTTTGTGAGGCTACTCACATCCACCCAATCACCAGAGCCAACTGTTTGCTTAACCCCATCAAGTCTTTGGGCAATGTTGTTCCAAATAGAACCATAGTCTTTTCCGTCTTGGTTATCTGAGCTCGCTGTAGACTTCCGGCTCTCCTCATCGGTAGACCGTGCTTTGGAACTCGTGAAGCGAGCCCTTGATTGACCTGGGTGCGACCATTCCCCCGCAGTGTATGCAGCTAGGGCAGCCGGGGGTACTGTCCATTTGATACGGGAAGCCATGGCAGCACCCGTTGTAATTAGGGGGCGTTGAGAGAACAAGGGAACCTGCAGCAGCATCCAGTGAGAGCCATTGGAAAAGAGAAAATCAACACTTTGCCTTTTTCCCTCAAGCCACAGCGCGAATCCGGACCTGGCGATCGACGATGACGTAATGCAGATGTGGGAGTCACGTGATACTATCCGCATCAGGACTAGCGCGGGCCGGACTAAACACTGGCCTGGGGGGAGCCCGATCGCATACCACTGCAGGCTTGGGACATCAATTCCAAAGCGCCTAAAGAGTGGCCCGGTGAAATGTGATACACTCTTCCTTGGGACCTCTATTGATCATCTTACCATGGTGGCTCCACGGAACACCGCCTATGCTGAGGAGAGCGCCGAGGTCGAGGTGCTCTACGCCAACCTCGAGAAGCTTAATCGACTCACCAAAAAGATCCAGGGATCTATGGTACGACTGGAAACAGGTGGCAAGGTTGTAAAGGAAGCTATTGGTCCTATCTACAGCAACACCCAATCTCTGCAAATCACCAACAGCAACATTGACAAGGTGAACGATGCGATCGATCGCTTGCGCCAGCCTCTCGATGCGAAGAACCGTGAAGATGGTATCATTCGCGCAGGGTATGTGTCTTTCTGCCATCTACTATATCAAGAATGACCAGTACTGACAATCCCCAAGCCCGCAGAGTTCCGGCCTCACGCAATATCTCTCCGCGATGAAACGTGTTGAAAAGGCGCTGGTCGACCTCAACACGACGAACCTGCGATCAAACCAAAAAGCAATGGCCGATTTCAACTCTCTATTAAACATCGGAAGTTTAAAGCTACAAGACACATTGCGGGCGGAATTAAGCCAGCACGCCACTCCTATCGAACCTTTGCACTATCTTACCAAAGGTATGTGGCTCTTGTCTAAACTCCATGATTGAGACTGACGTTACACGCTTTATAGACCTCTCATTCCCGTCCCTCCCCGAAGAAACAATCAATCACCTGGCACCGCTGTGCGCGGCAGTCGGTTCGGCTTCCGTCTATGGACCTCAGCGCAGCAAAGGCGAGAACCCCGCGTTGAAAGTATACGCCGAGGTACGAGGGCCTTATATCACAGCCAGCTTGCAGAACCTTGCGATTGCCTCCATGAATACCGTCAAGCGTAGACCCACAGATGGCCCTTACAAACAAGGTACCAATGGTATTGGTCTCTACTCGAATGCACTGGAGGCCTTTATTACCACCGAGCATGGTATCATTGTACAGTTGTTCAGTGGAGACCAGCAGGGCCTGGCACTACAGGCCACGTTCCTGGGTGCCATGGGCGAATATTCCAAAACCCTGCGCGAGCTCAATCAGTACATCAAGGCCAACCTTATGACAGACTGTTTCCTTGCCTTTGAGATTATCGAAATTGTGACTGCCATGTCCTATCGAATTGACTCCAAGGCTGCAGAGCTGAAGAGTCTTTTGATAGAAGCTCTCCGGCCTGTGCGCGAGACTGCCAAGTCTTCACTCTCTGAGTTACTCGAGGAAACCAAGCGCAAGGCTGCTAGTGTCCCACTTCCGCCAGACGGTGGGTCAGTGCCTCTTGTCGAGGAAGTGATGAGTTCACTGGCCACATTGACGCACTATTCGGGTCCATTGGCTTCGATCCTGACATCCTTGGGTGATGGAAATTGGCGTGCCAAGTCCAACGCTGCCGGCTCTGCTCCACTGGACGTAGGCCCGGATAGCGCCACCCTCCTCTCACATTTCATATTGGACATGCTCGAAGCCTTGATGACTTCTCTAGAAGCTCGTGGTCGCGCATTCCACCGATCAAAGGCAGCACTGGGTGTTTTCCTTTCCAATGTCTTCTGCATCGTGGACCGATCGATTCGGCAAAGCCCAGAACTAGCGCGCTACCTCGGCTCCCCCGATAGCATCGCCAGGATTGACACATTCCGCAAGCGCGCAACGTCCACCTACCTGGATGCATGGAAAGAAACCTCGCAATACCTCCTCGATGTGCAATACACTTCTCGTGGAGCGCAGCGCAATTCCGGCGGCAATGTGGACTCCAGTGCCATTGTCAAGTCTCTTTCGTCTAAAGACAGAGATGCAATCAAGGACAAATTCAAGTCCTTCAATGCCAGCTTTGACGAGATGGTTTCTCGTCACAAGACTCTCCATATGGAGCGGGAAGTGCGCACTGTGCTTTCTCGGGAGCTGCAGACTGTCCTTGAGCCTTTGTATGCTCGATTTTATGATCGATATCACGAAATCGACAAAGGACGTGGCAAGTACATTAAGTATGATAAGGCGAGCTTGTCAGTACAGCTGGCCCAGCTGGCCTAGCCTTTCAGGGTTATCATGTATATGAGCTAATAGTTAATGTCAATTTGATGTCTCAAATGTGCGAATCAACCTAGTTGATAGACTAGATATGATTGGTTTTTTTTTTCTCTTTCTTTTTGTAAAAGAATCAACTATATCGGATTGTCCCTATGTACTAGCACTTATCCTGTCAAGCTCTCAAGGCTTCCCAATTAGGAATGTGGACGCAATATATCAAAGACGTGATCCCATTGGCTGGTATATCAAGGCGGCAAGGCTCGGTGTCATCTTCAATCCAGTCTTCAGTCTTACATCCGATCCCTACACACAATATGTCTAACCCACTAGTGCTACCACGCCCAGGAGCAGCAAGTTCCGACACTGCTCCACACTCAATCCAAGCCCCATCTGAAGAGACCTTCATCTCAACCTTTGGCCAACTGCTACCAAAAGCATCATATCTGCAGACGCCCAAGGGCAAAGCAGCATACTATGAGATTCACCCCTCAAGCTCCGATGCCAAAGCTCCCATTTCCCGTGTTCTCTTCATCCATGGCGTCCAAACACCCGCAATCGGACTGCAACCACTAGCAAGCGTACTGTCTTCGCGATTCCCACGCGCCCATTGTGTCCTCGTTGATCTATGGGGCCATGGTCTTACTGAGACACCTGTTGCAGCGCATGAGCCGGCACTTTTCCATGGCTTATTGGAGGCGCTGATGAATCAGCTTCAATGGGAGAAAGCACATCTTGTTGGGTATTCGTTTGGTGGGTCTACGACGGCTACTTTTGCCGCTGCTTATCCCGAGCGTGTTGAGTCTATGGTTCTTGTTGCGCCTGCTGGATTACTGCGGTCTGAGAAATTTACGGAGTTGGAGAGGAGCTATTTGCGTGGGGGTGAGGGGTTAGAGGAGCAGGCTCGTGCGTGGGTTCTGGAGTTCCTTGAGGGTGGGGAGTTGGTTGTTCCTGCGGACTGGGAGGAGAGGGTTGGACGGGGCGAGGTGGTTGCAGAGGCTGTGAGGGATTGGCAGATGAAGGAGCATGCTGGACATCCGGCGAGTGTGGTGGGGATATTTAGAGATGGTGGTGTTTTGGATAAGCATGCTGGGTTTGCTGAAGCGGCAAAGAAAGGTATTGCAAGCTTATGTGTTCTTGGGGAGTTGGATGATTTGTGCACCGTGCAGGATCTACAAGATATTGGAATGCACAATGTTGCGGTGGTTCCTCAGGTGGGACATTCGGTTGTGAGGCAAAAGGTGCTGGAAGTTTCTCTTCTGATTGAGGAATTCTGGAATACGCTGTCATAGAAGTTCAATGTGTATAGAGTAAAGTAGAAACAGAAGTAGAAGTACAAAGTAGAAACAGAGAAACAGAGCCAAGTTCAAGTTCCCCCCGGAACCGGGGACCCCACTGGTTAGTCATGACGATAACGTGATAAGCCCCGCCAAAAATTTGACGTCCAATTTGCTTTTTGTTCAATTCCTCCATTTGCCAGTGGTTTAAGACAATTTTCAAAATGTCCGGAAGCAACGATGTCTACCAGACTCCCCTCAACTCGCGTTATGCGAGTAAGTTCCCCCCTCCCCCCAAACCACCATGTCCTCGGAGCATGGAGGGGCACATATAGATACAGACTAACACTCAATTGTCCAGGCACTGAGATGAAGTACCTCTTTTCTCCCCGCAAGCGTTTCTCTACATGGAGACAGCTTTGGACCTGGCTCGCGGAGGCCCAAAAAGGTACGGCATAGACTGAGCCACGGCCGACATCGGGCCTAAACAGAGAGAGAAAAAAAAGAAACATCCCAATTGACTGAATCATGGCTACAGAGCTCGGACTTCCTATCACTGCCGAGGCTATTGAGCAGATGAAGGCTCACGAGGTCATCCAAGATGATGAATTCGCCGTTGCCGCTGAGGAGGAGAAGCGTCGGAGACACGACGTCATGGCCCACGTTCACGCCTTTGGCCAGGTTGCCCCCGCTGCCGCCGGTATCATCCACTGGGGTGCCACTTCGTGCTACTGTACCGATAACGCCGATCTGATTCTCCTCCGTGATGGTCTCGATATCCTCATTCCCAAGCTGGCTGTTGTCGTCGACAAGCTGTCCCAGTTCGCCCAGCAGTACAAGGACCTGCCTTGTCTTGGTTTCACCCACGGCCAGCCCGCCCAGCTAGTCACTGTTGGCAAGCGTGCTTGTCTCTGGATCCAGGATCTGCTCATGGATCTGCGCAACCTCGAGCGTGCCCGTGACGACCTCCGCTTCCGTGGTGTCAAGGGTACCACTGGTACTCAGGCCTCTTTCCTCCAGATCTTCAACGGTGACCACGCCAAGGTCGAGAGCCTCGATGAGCTCGTTACCGAGAAGGCTGGCTTCAGCTCCGCTTTCATTATCTCCAGTCAAACATACTCGCGTAAGATCGATGTTGACGTCGGTAACGCTCTCGGCTCTTTCGGTGCCACCTGTGAGCGCATTGGTATTGACATTCGTCACCTTGCCATGCTCAAGGAGGTTGAGGAGCCCTTCGAGAAGGACCAGATTGGCAGCAGTGCCATGGTGGGTTTTTTTTTCCCCCTTCCAATCTCAACACAAGCTAATGATCGATAGGCCTACAAGCGTAACCCTATGCGCTCTGAGCGTCTTTGCTCCCTGGGTCGCCACCTGCAGAACCTTCCTAAGGACGGTCTCGACACCTACTCCGCTCAGTGGTTCGAGCGTTCCCTCGATGACAGTGCCATCCGCCGTATCAGCATTCCCGAGCTGTACTTGACTGCCGATGCCTGTCTCATTCTCCTCAACAACGTCAGCTCCGGCTTCGTCGTTTACCCCGAGGTTATCAAGCGTCGTGTCAACGATGAACTCCCCTTCATGGCGACGTAAGTCGACTACCACCAATTGTCTTGGAATTTACTAATACCAAATTCCAGTGAGAACATCATCATGGCCTGTGTTGCCAAGGGTCTCTCCCGCCAGGATGCCCACGAGGAGATCCGTAAGTTGATTTACTGTTTCTGATTACCGAATCCCCACTAATATATCATAGGTGTTCTCTCCCACCAAGCTGCCGACAACGTCAAGAAGCAGGGTAAGGACAACGACCTGATCGAGCGTATCCGCCGCACTGCCTTCTTCGAGCCCATCATTGCTCAACTCGACACTCTTCTGGACGCCAGCACCTTCGTCGGCCGTGCCCCCCAGCAAGTCGAGAAGTTCACCAGCACCGAGGTTGCCGCTGCCATCAAGCCCTACGCTTCTACCATTGCCAAGGGTGAGACCTCTGCTCTGCACGTCTAAACGGTGTATATGAGTGCAAAGTTTTATGATAAAAGGATGAAGGACGTTCTATAGATGAAGTCAGAACCGTACAGGAATTTATATCGGAGAATTACGGTAGCATTTTGACGTGGATGATTTCCCACAGCCCCACTTACCTGCTTCCCCGATGCGGGCAAAAAAGTTTAGATGAGAGGGGCATTTCTATGGATCTGTCGGATCAGATATCCTATAGTGACTCATAGACCAGTAGCCTTGTATGAAGAAGTTCAACGCTTTTGCCAGATGTATGCAGAGAAAGACTATGTTTAACCCGAAAGAATTGAGAAAAAGAAACCACCCAAACAAAAGAGATATGCATGATCTGTCCCCGGTAGGACAATCCCAAAGAAAAGAGACTATGCAATGAAACGCTAACATGCAATCGTGAAAAACAATGCAGAGATATAAAAAAAAAATAACCGGGGCAATTGAGCATAGAGAAAAAGCCCGTCTCTCAAACCGAGAACCACCGAGTGGACCAGTCACAACAGGACAATTTGCCGTTTTCCAGTGCGCTTTTAAACCGAACCATCCACCTGGATATAAAACACCGGAGAATCTCCGACGAGGCTAGCAGAGAGCCCCTCGAAGCCTGCATCTCTGCCCGAAGTTCGTAGCTCCAATATGCGCAAATTGCACCCCCACTAAACCCCTCCAGTGCTTATCCACCCCACCTTTTCTTTTCTTTTTTTTCTGTCAAACGGGGACAGATTCGGGTTCCGAGGGGGTAGGCTGGTAGAAGAGGTCACGGACCAGCCAGACGATGTATAGAACAGCCAACACCCACAGCGAAGCCATGAGTTTGTATGTGGAGGAGCGCCAGGTGACACGGCGGATCAGACGACGACCATTTGGGCCTTCGATAGGACCCCTGCGAGGGGGAGCATTCGAAGCATTCGATGGCATGGACATGGAAAAGGGATATGCGACAGCTTCGTTCATTTCGCTGTGTGATGTTCGACGGCGAGACATGGTGGACCCGGAGGATATATGGTTCGGCCCGGGTGACGTTTCCGGGTCTCTGGTAGGGCTTTGCATGGTTGATTGTTGAATGTTGGAAGTTGGAAGTGTGTTGGAGGGACTTTCAGGATGAATTCGCAATTTTCTGGATTTTGTGGCCAACGCACAAATAAAAAAAATAAGTGAAAAAGGAGGAGGGGCACGATAATTAGCCAGTCAGAGGCAGCAATTGCTGGACAACAGCAAGAGCTCGAAAAGGGAATATTGAGTCTCCAGAAAGCGGATCTGTAGGCTGGCACGGGCGAATGGGCAGCGGTGGACGGAACGTGGCCCGTTGCATCTTATAACATCTCTTCATTGTTCATTGTCCATCTTCTTCTTTTTGGATGTTTTTTTTTTCTTTTTTTTTTCAGGCTTAACTTGCGTTTGTGGTATTGTGGTTTGAGGGTTTCTATCCAGATAAAAATAATAAAATCAACAAAGTAATTCGAATCACAACAAAAACAAAAACAAACAAATAGGGGGAAGATAGGATTTCCAACGTCAAAAGGGTCTGATTAAGGTGGGGGGAAAATGGGAAATTTTCCAAACCGATAGCCGCGGTCATTAGACATTGGACAAAAGTACGAAGCACAGACCGGTGACATACACTTATACTAAGTATACTATGATACTATTATCCTGTTATACTACTATACTATATCTGCCGGCTACTAGATCTATCTACTTATGAACCAATAGATACGGATATGACTTCCACTCTACTTGAGTACTTGGATTTTGTACCTATTCTTAGGCTGATCCGGCTGATGTCTTAGGGTTGCTGTGACGTAGCCGTTTAACAGTGGAGCCATGATACTAGTACTATCTGGATTTATATACTCCATAAGTAGATATCAATCATACAGAGCACATCTGAACAGATGAAAATAACCTAAGCAGTGAACCCAATGCTTATAGGTGCGGGGTTATCTTACTAAGTTCGGGCGAAGGGGTCAATTGTCCTATTGTCCTGGTATGCGGAGTAATGGAGTCTCATACACAATGTCCCTATAGTAAGTTCACTCGAATTGAGCTATATCTACTTAAGTAGGTATAAATAGGTCCTATGCTAAGCATTGAATAGGCTATATAGATACGAAGTCCTATATAACCCGTGGACGCTATCAAGGTTAAAGACCACGTGACTCGGTCCAAATCGACAGTTGAAAATGGAATATGTGCATAGATGCGATGCGTATCTGTATATGTGCATATGTAAGTAGTTATATAGTGCAACTTACGACTGAAAAGCCATTGCATGATACTTAAGAAAAAGTGTTGTGCAGTTGATCTTGTGACTCTTCCTCCGATCTCCGGAGCTAGGCGGAGTACCCCCGGACCAGCTACCTCGGCAGATGAAAACGTTCCCGATATTACTCACACTTCCCTTCTACAACTTACAACTTCCCACTTCCCTTCTCTTGATCCCAATCTGTTATCTTAAGGCCAGGAGGCCTTTCTAGCCCACCATGTGGAAGCCCACGGAGAGGCTGATGGACACCATCAGGCATTACGCCAGCTTCCCCGCAACCGGTGTCTCGCTGAGGCAGATGGTCCAATTTGGTGACCGGCCCTCAACAGGTATGTGGTGGCTGTCTGGTGTGAGACCCAACTCTCTAACGCATCGCCAGGCACTTTATTCCGCGCTTCTCAATTCCTGTCCGAGGAGCTTCCCATCCGTCTCGCTCATCGCGTGCAGGATCTCGGGGAGCTGCCGGATGGACTGAGCGAGATGCCATCTATCAAAAGAGTTCAGGATTGGTATGCGCAGTCTTTCGAGGTAGGTTTGGCCATCGATCGGACCCGGGGGGCTTCCTACTAACCAAAATCCAGGAAATTATCGCCCTTCCTCGTCCGACTCTGACTCAAGAAGTCAAGCAACGCCTTTTACGACCTAGCCGGATGAACGGCGGCCCTTCCAAGATCCTATCCGAAACAACTCAGAACCCCAGTGTCCGTGAAGGGCAATATCGATCCTCGGTGACGGCCGGCAACGGCAATGGTGTGAACAAGGCCCATCCGGCCTCAGGTCGGCGATACTTCTTCCCCGCAGACGACTGCGGAGACTGGCCCCCAGAACTGAACGATTACAATCAAAGATTCGCCAAGACTCTGCAGCAGATCAAGCGGCGTCACGACGGGGTCGTGACCACCGTCGCGCAAGGTATTCTGGAGTGGAAGCGTGCGCGCCAGCGCATGCAGATCGACTCTACAATTCAGTCCTTCCTCGATCGGTTCTACATGTCACGAATTGGTATACGAATGCTTATCGGTCAACATATTGCCCTTACGGAACAGACGCATGTCAAACACCCCAACTATGTCGGAATAATTTGTACAAAGACCAACGTCCGTGATATCGCCCTTGAGGCGATTGAAAACGCTCGCTTTGTCTGTGAAGACTACTACGGTCTCTTTGAGGCCCCCAAGGTGCAGCTGGTCTGCAAGGAGGACCTGAACTTCATGTATGTCCCGGGACACCTATCGCACATGCTCTTCGAGACTTTGAAGAACTCGCTGCGTGCGGTTGTCGAGCAGCATGGCGCCGACAAGGAAGATTTCCCCGTGACCAAGGTCATTGTCGCAGAGGGCAAAGAAGACATCACAATCAAGGTCTCCGACGAGGGCGGTGGTATTCCTCGATCTGCTATCCCGCTTGTTTGGACTTACATGTATACCACTGTGGAACAAACCCCCAACCTTGACCCGGACTTCGACAAGAACGACTTCAAGGCGCCGATGGCCGGGTTTGGATACGGCTTACCCATTAGCCGACTGTACGCTCGGTACTTTGGCGGTGATCTCAAGTTGATCAGTATGGAGGGGTATGTGTTTTTTTTTTTCTCCCCGGTTTCAGTCCAAGTAAACTCTTGCTAATTCCATTCTACAGATACGGAACGGACGTATACCTCCATTTGAATCGTCTCTCTTCCAGCTCGGAGCCCCTGCAATGACAATCACCCGTCATGAGAGACGGGCGGATCCGGATCACTACCTCGCACCGCCTCATATACAATGACCCGGAAATTCAAACCGCGCCGCCTCGAGGACTGACGCTGATGAACGCCCAGGCCCACTACAAGCGCATGCTTAGTCGAGAAGTCTCGGAGCGTAAGCAAGTCGGAGACATTGAGAGTCTGTTCCACTCGGAGAAACGGAGGAGAGATTCCCAAGTAATGTAGCTTTGGCTCGGCCTCTGTTTCCCTGATTGGTCCTCTTGCGTTCTTCCTTTGCTCCGGCTTTTGGCTAACAAGATTGTGAAAGACTGGGTAACATTCTTGTTTTGGGTTATTTGCCAGAGAACAGAGATCGAAACACCCAGAACGGAAAATGCGTTCTTGGGCTCCTCTCGATGATACCCCTTTTTCTCTCTTTCTCGCTCTTGTTCTCTGGAATGACCCTCTGGTGTTTTGGTTTCTCTTGTAAAGTATTTCACATTTAGCGAATCTACATAACTCAGTTCAATTCTTCAATTGTAATTCTCGAAGTATGGAGTTCAGAGTAAAGCATAATTCATCAATTCCACGCCTTAAACCTCACACAAAGATGCAAAAAAACGCTAAAAAAAAACCATCAAAGATCCTCCTCATCACGACCCAACGAAGACCGTCCAGAAGACCTCCCAGACCCAGACAACCTAACACCCGAAACCCTCCTCGGCGAATTAGCCCCAGAAAACCCCCCAGACCCCTTCTCCCCCATCCTCTTCAAATACCCAGGCTTACACCACCCATGCTCATCAACACCCCCAATAACATCCCGATACCGTCCCCGCACAAGCGATCCCTCCCCACCACTCCCATCACCAGGAATCCAAAACCGAGGCGCATACAGCTCCTCCGCACGCTCCGAGTCATTAGGCGCAAGATACTTCGCCATGAAGCGGCGGCGTGTTTGCGGGATCGTCTGATTAATGTAAGACTCAGATGTAGATGTAGATGTAGATGTAGAATTGTGGGGAACGAACCTCATTCGCGGCTAGCGCATAAGTAACGAGCATTTCCCTATCCTGGAGAACGCACAGCGCAGCATGTTTGTCGTCGCGGAGATGGGTCCGCATCCGTGTGTCTTTTTCGTACTCGCTTGGTACTTGCATTATCTGGTCTTGGCCTGTTTGGTTGTAGACTGCTGTTGTGGGGTCTGTGGCTCGGTGGGCGAATGTGTCTGTTTGGTGTTAGATTTGACTTTTGGTGCTTTGCTTGTGGTTAAGTCTGGCTTTGCGGACTCCCGTGGCCAGCATGCTTCGATTGGAAGTATTGACGTACCTGTGTCGCTGCGCGTTTCTGGGTGTGTTTGGATGTCCCAATCTATTTCGGATTCGAATTGTCCTCTTTCGCCGGCATCGGAGCTGTACAGTGAGACTCCGTCGAGTTGCATGCCGCCGTCGGACTCGGATTCTGTTTCGAGTTCCATGGTTGCTTGGTTGGTTTGTGTGTACTTGAGTGTACTGAGAGATGGTTCAAGTGGTTGGGAATTTTAGGTGGGAGAGTGCAAGTGGGAAATGAGTTGCCCACGTCTCTTTCCAAATAGGAAGTTGCACTGCTCACGTGGGTCTTTCAAAGGTTCACTCTTATACTCTGTAGACTTGCTTGTTTCTATCGCTCGTGTTAGATGATGCAAGATTAGGAGTGTTTGAGGGTCATCATTGAGATGGATTTTCGGGAAATTCTACATCTGATGATTTTACTCACATGGTTCTATTGTCTCAAGCAGAAAAGCAATGAATCTCGTTGAAGTATGAAGTACAGATGAGTGTGGCGATGAATTGGAGATATACTGCCCAGATGAGAAGGCGGTCAGTATATTGATTATGTCATTGAAACTTATATCACGTGTCAGTATCCACTCTTCGTCCGGGGTATCACGATGTACTACATACTATCATGATGCCGACAACCTAGAAGTAGCTAGTTAATGGACGGACACTGATAAAATGATGGCTTATATCCAGGATCTACATGCTACAGATTCATTCAAGGACTGTATAGGCCTTATAAGACTTCTAAAAGTTGCAGATGTGAACCATAGATGGGAAAGAGAATGAATAATTCTAAGTATAGAAAACAAGTCCCAGGAATGGATTACCCAAGACACTGACAACGCCGGAACACAATGCCGCTAGAACGACTGACATTTTAGAAGAGAACAAGAAAAACAATGTTTAATTAGAGGGACACTCATGCATGTACGAATTTTTAGGCCAGTGGTAACCAGCATCATCCCTAGGAACAATCGTTAGCGAATCTATTATAGTAAGGAATGAGAGAGAGACATACCAGTTCGTATAGTTGGCATTATCATAAGCCTTGCGATGTTGCTCAATATACTTGGTAGTCTCATAACCAGGAGGATCACAGGTGACACTCTCGTCATCTGGATCCTGGTAGATACGGACATAGTCGAAACGAAGCAATGCAGGCATGAATTCGCGGATGGTGTGGTTTTGCGGTGCGAAGTTGTCTGCCATACCCATGTTCATGACTAAACTCATGGGCTCGAGGGGGATCATGCGTTGTCCGATGTTTCCGTTTGGTCCGATTGCTCGGCCATCTATGGTCCATGTTTTTTCGGGGCCGACGAACCAGGTTATCTCGCCTTCCGCGCCGGGCGTGTACTCCATGGAGTAGGTTTGGTATTGGGAGCCGTTGTACCAGCGGTGGTTGAGGTTGGTGAGGGCGGACATGGCTTGTTGGTAGACACCACCGCGGTAGCTGTTGATTTCGGTGACGCGGTCGTCATAGACGGCGGCGAAGTCTAAAGTTATTGGTCAGAGGTTTCTTGAATGAAGGGACGAACTCACTTACCATAGTCGGGCATGTACCACAAATCGAAAGGTGCGGTTTGCAAACTCTGAGATGCACTACCGACGAATGGACCACTGTCTCCGTAGAGTGGCGCAGTGCTTCCCTCTATAACATCAATTTCAGGAGCACTGCGAGCCTTGCCTGGTGTCGGATGATCCGACCCGTCGCAGGCACATCCAGGCAAACGCATGCCTGGAAGCCAATTCAGACCATCCGTTGCGCTTTGGTTAGGAGTGATACCAGCATCACATCCATCATGGTAGCTGTATGGCCACATACCATCGGTGGTAGCGGCATAACCTGGACGACCAAGATTTCCCATAGCCCAGAAACCAGGCCAGAAACCCTCGACGTGACCATCACCAGGGAGGGACATACTGGCTTCGAGTCGGCCTCCCTTGAAGCAGAGCTTGTTCCAGCTCTGCACCATACCAGATCTATATTCGAGTTCGTGGTTCTCGAAGTGATCAAAGCGAAGCTGGAGGGTTCCGTCGGCTGTGGTGACGGCGTCTGGGTCATACCACTGGTTATTATTAGTATTTGACTATTACATGGGAATGATACGCTGCTCACCTCTTTATCAGCTGTAACACCATACCAAAGATCGACAGCTTCGAAGAATGGGTCGTCTTCGGCGAAGAAAGTTCGCCCAGGAACATTGAATTCATCGGAGAACTGTTCTTCTGGTCAGAACATCTCAGCGGTCAGCGGTCTTGAAAACTCACCACTAGCTTCATCTCTTTGCCATTGGCATTCTTCTTGGTGAGAGCCTCATCGGGTGTGTCAGGGTCAATCAAGCTCTGGCGCACGTTACTCAACAAGGGTCGGTCCCCAACATCCAAGCACAACGTATCAGCAGGGTGGCAGACTCCAGCTTTTGGCTGCAGAACATTCGATAGCCAGGTTCTGTCATAATTAGCAAGACGATCATAACCATTTGAACAACATCTTACATCAGAGGGTAACCAATGAAAAGCACCAATATGCCAATAGTAAGCACAAGCAAACCACCAAGGTTCATCACACCACGGCGATTCCAAATATCACAATCCCGGTCCTTGTCCATTGGATCCGGGTTATGCATATAATCATCCTTCTCCACATCCTCAGGGAATAAAAGCAGACCATCAGTAGGCATGATATTGAACTTCTCCGAAACCGTCTGCGTATTCACATCATGGTCCTCGTTCGAGTTTTGAGACGGAGCCCTTGAATCCTGGAACGGATCCAGGGGGAAGGTACTTTCACGACTGATGGAGCTGATGCTCGACCGCCCTGCAGACCATCTATCTGGAGATCGTGGCGTGTCGCTGTCACTTACTCCTGCTCCTTGTGTGGGTCGCAACCGAGGAGGTAGAAGGAACTCTGATGATTCTGGTGCAGCTGATGCACCATACGGAGAGATCCCTTGGGCTCCGATGGGGGTTGGCATGTCAGGGCCCTGTGGTGTCAATGGCCTGGGGAAGGTTCGAGAGGTAAGAGGCGCGTAGCCATCAACTGTCTGGGATGGATCATGTTGACCCGAGTTCAATCGGATGTGAGGCGCCAATGCGGCCTTACTGTCTGAGGTATCGGAGCCGTGGTCCGACATGGTCTTTAGATGTTCTGGATGTTCTGGATGTTCTGGTCGAAGGTGATGATGTCCTCTGCCTGACACTATTCTCTACCGTTCACTTCCTCCACGAGGCTAGTTTCCTGGCATCGATGGTTGAGATACCGTGGCTTGAGATCTGTTGTCTGTTGTTTCTGATCCCTGATCTCGCTATATATTAGATTCGGCAATGAATGGTTCGAGATTGAGGGCACAGTCGATCAGTGCAGTATTAACGAAAGAACGGACAGGACGGGTCGGATGTCATCCAGTGTCCCTCGGCGGCAGGATGAGAGATGCAGAGTCTAAACAGAGAAGAGTGCCAAATCCACGGAAGAAAAGACGAGCCTAGATGATCCGAGGGGTCGTGTTTAGGTACACGAGGATACTGGAATGACACAGTGCCAAGGGGGGCAACCACTGGTATGTTATACCTATATCGCAAGGCGTCGGGCGATCTGTGTATAGAGGTTGGCAATTGACTGCAGCTTGCAAAGTGCATCTCCCTAGTGCATGGCGCTCTTTTCATTTCTTTTTATTGCTTCAATCAAAGCAACTGGCTGGTGGTGCACCAGCCTTTCGACGCCCTGGACGTGGACCTGTATAGGGCCCCAGGGCGCGGCATTCCCGTTGCCCTCCAGGACTGTCAAGAATGGCCGCCTGTGAATGCTGGAATCTGGGGATCGGCATGGTGCAATGGCTTCACACTCGGAGATAATACGAGTATTCGTAGTAGCAACGGTGTCTTTCTCAAGTTGTGGTTCAAAGAGTGAAGCGAAGGGCGAACTGCCTAGGTTGAGACACCAGCCACTTTTGTCAGCGAATCAGAGTCAACCTCAAGTACACTACGGAGTATACAGTCTACTTTTACAATAGTGTTGACAAGACTAGTCGATACTCTGCCGTTTAGCAATAGAATATACTAGGCCTGTCAGTGTATTTGACACGCGTCTGAGGGATCTCCAACCGCCAACGGGGAATGCAAACAGATCCCGAGACTGTCAAATCAAAGAGGAAAGTAGAACGAGGTGGTTATCCATTCCATACCAATTTACCCATTGTGAGGCTATGCACAGCTGCCTCCAGCTCCCGACTCTACTTGTATCAGTAGACGGATAACAGTCTGGTGCTTGTGCAATCCAATTTCAGGCTCAGAACTCATATCTCGTAAAATCACCTGTCCGCAGCATGATAGCAAATTCCTTCAATTACGCACTACTCCGAATTCACGATTCAACCGCCTTCGCACGGAGCCCAACAACCCGACTCTCCGCCTTATGCAGACCCAGAACCCAATACTCGATCTTGGTACTCGTAAGCTCAACCCGGTAAATCTTCAACTCAGACCCATCCGCCGCCTCACGCACAGCATCTAAGGCAGCCGTGTACTGATTCCGGGGATCAAAGGAGGAGGGGGATAGAGTTGAGATAGACAGGTTTGAATCGGGGGCAATGAGGGAGGAGAGCTGGTCTGAGTAAGGGTCAGTAATCAGGTTCGGAAGGGTACAAGGACCTAGGTATCTTGTTTAGTATTGGGAGGGGGGTCAGGACATACCGGGGCTCGGCCATGTGCCCTTTGCTGCTTCATCCCACTTTAGCGCGACGGGTTCGAAGGGCTCGTCGGTTTCGGAGATGTAGTAGATTTCGATGGATTGGAGGGCCTTGGGGACTGAGAGGGTGCTGTGGACGGTCTGCGTCTGGATGCCCCCTTGCTGGGACTTGGGGCTCACGTCTGCGTTGGCTTTGTCCAGGAAGGACATGTAGGCGTCGTCGGAGGCCATGGTGTGGGTTGTTGAGAACGATCGGGTGAGTTGGTTTGGAGATCGTGGTAGTAGCTTGTAATGGATGTGTGTGTGCCAGTGTAAACGTAGCGGGGAGGCTACACGGAGCGCGTTGGGGAAGTGTGGGATGACGCAATGGATCTTGAGTTGGCGCATGTCTTTCTAAAGTTGCAACTTTTCTTAGATCTCAAGACAATTTTTCTGAAGGTAACTTTAGAAGTTCTTATGTGTAGGAGTGAGAAATTAGCAAGGAATTACCCGGTATATATTTTAGATGTTCCGGTTTTATGAAGTCCTGCGAAAATATATCTATCGGTTCTAAAGTTGCTTCTAAAGTTACCCCGGTATATATGTTGCACTAGCATAGTACTTGTTCTAAAGTTATATTTCAATGTTGGAATTTTGAATTAAACATATCCAAATAGCGTGCCCAAATACTTAAATACTAAGTACTAAGTATTGTACTTAGGTATTATATTGATACTTTTCCATGGGTTCAGTGCCAGTGCTAAGTACTAGGTAGACGGGAATAGTCAACTTGGGAAATGAGACCAAAAGCGACTTAAACCTGGGAACTTGCGGGTTCCTCTACTGTACAGCCAACTACAATCTACAAGAAGTGGTGAAGGATATTCGCTTTTTTATTGAATATGAAACGTAGCACTATCACCAATAGCCTTAAACATCTTAAACAGTCTCGACAAGGTCCTTCTTGAGGGTACCAATGAAGGCCTTCTTCTCCTCGGCGGTCTGGAAAGCACCGTGACCGAACTTGGAGGAGGTATCGATCCACTTGAGGTCGACCTTCTCGGTAGCACGGCGGGAAGTCTGGGGGTAGAGGGTCTTGCGGAGAGTCATGACACGCTTCTTAACACCGGGAACGGAGCCCTTGACCATGACGAAGTCGTTCTTGACCTGGCCGTAGTGGACGAAGCCACCCATGGGGGTGATCTGCTTCTTGGAGATGTCGAACTCGGTGGAGGCGTTACCCTCATCGGAGCCCTTGCCAATACGGAAGACCTTGTGGTTGCAAGAGGTACGGTGGTGGTAACCGTCCTGACCGGCACGGGCCACAGTCCACTGGACGTGGTTAGGGTGCCAGGCACCAATACAAGCGACCTTGCGGAGACCCTTGTGAGTCTTGCGGGGAAGCTTGGTGGTACCCCAACGGGAGGTAACACCGGAGAAACCGTGACCCTTGGTGACGGCGATGACATCAATCATCTCGTCCTTCTCGAAGATGGAGTCAATGTCGATGGTCTTCTCGAAGAGGTTCTTGGCGAAGTCAACCTTGTCGGAGACGGAGCCACCGTTGACCTGGATCTCCATAAGGTGGGCCTTCTTCTGCTTGATGGGGGTCTCGCGGATCTGGGTGTGGGCGAGAACACGGACAACAGTGCAGTACTTCTGGATGCGCTCGAGCTCGCGGGTGATGGAGGCACCGGAGGACTCAGCGTGGGACTTGGCGTACTTGGTGAAGGCCTTCTTCTTGGACTTGTACCAGTTCTTGTAGAAGCGGCGCTTGACCTCGTCGCTCAGGTGCTCAGCCCAGACGGTGGTGAGCGAGCGGAGACCACGGGGAGTCTCGATGTATCCGACGACACCGACGGCAACGAGCTGAAATAGATCTCAAATTAGTCCCAATTCCACATTTCTGTACATTCGCACACTGCCAGAAAAAAACCTACAGGAGGGGTCTCGATGACGGTGACGGCCTCGACAATCTCCTTCTTGTGCATCTTGGCACCGGGACGGTCAAGGTCACGGACGACAGTGGTCATACCGGCCTTGTAACCCATGGAGGCAGTCAGGTGGACGGGCTTGCTGGCGTCATCCTTGGGGAAGCTGTCGCAAAAAAAAAAGTCTCAGCACACAAATTCGAGATCCAACCAGATTTTCAGATAAAAGACTGACCTCTTGACCTTTCCGCGGTGACGGGCAGCGCGCTTGCGCGGCAGGTAGGCGAGGGAGCCTGGAGTTAGAATCAGTATACCGAACACACACAGAGGTCGAATTTCGAAATTTCGATATCGAAGGTGAATTCACGAACCGTGACGAGGCGCTTCGTACTTCCGGTGACTCCTGTTAAAGGAAAGCAAATCAGCAATTGGACTAGTAGATATCATATCCCAATAAGACTCACATCTTGACCCTGTTGTCGTTAGTCGTCGAGGTGGTGGGAGTGACGATCTGGAAATGTCGAAGATGATTTTGCAGGCCTGGTGTGTGGGCTAACCTAAGCGAGACTCTTGGCGTTAGCGCGGCCGCCTGAGGCACCCCACAATCACCAAAATTACATAATCGTGCCCTGGCCCTGTCATGTGATCTGCCAAGACAAACGGCTTTTAGTTTCATCCACAGTGGACATTGTACCTTAAGGGCGGGCCTATGGACTTGCATAGAAATTTCACTCATTTCTTGTTTCTGCCCTGGTTTAACATTAACATTAAAATTAGTTAGAAGCTAGTTTCTTGATGGAGTAAGTGTCATTGACATTACTATACTACCTAGGTACTAAAGGAGAATACCTAGTGAAAGTATTGAACACTTAAAATGGCACGTTGAATTTACTCTACCAAATTCCAAAGTATCAAACAAAAAAATTGCTTCAAGGATGCGGGAAAGCACCATAAGAATTCACAGTGAAAGGAGACTAAGAAATCATAAAATAGGTAAGAGAACGAAAGGACCGAAGAAGCGCATGCGCTCGAAGCCGTCAGTCATCGTAACTCGCACATTCATACCGCACATCACAAAGAGAGGAACCAGAGAAGAGAGCGAAAGGGGGGTGTTAAAACAGACAAAACCGAGGAAGCCAAGGAAAACAGGACTTTTTAGGCTGAAGGCTCGGTCTTGGAAGGGGTGCCAGGGTGCACATTAGTGCCGTTGGCTGGGTTGCCGGCTGCACTACCATTTGGGCTACCCTTGGAGGCAGCGGCCGCTTTCTTCTCCTCTTCAACTTCATCGTCATAATCCTCATCGACATCCATCTTCCGCGCGGGGGGCTCGTGCGCAGGAGGTGCCTCAGGGCGAGGTGCTTCCTCTTTGACCGGAGTGTTGGCCGAAGGGGGCCCAGAGGCAGGGCCGTTGGATGCGGGAGCAGAACCTTCAGTCATGGGGGGAAGGCTGGGCCCGCCGGCACCATGAGGAGGCATGTCTTGGATGGAAGGAAGGGTAGGAGGGTGGTGAGCGGCCTCCGAAGGGTGGTAGTTTTCATTGGCGCGACGGGCGTCTTCACGACGAGCTTCCGAGGAGCTACGCCGTTGCATCTCACCAGGAGAAGGCAGACGAGCGGGAGGACTGGAGCGACGAGTGTTCTGATCATCCAGACGGGCGCGGCTTTCATCATTTGCAAGTTTCTTGATTGGACCGGCATCGGCCTCCCATTCACGACCACGCTTCATGGCGGAAGTAGGACGGTCTTCACGGTCGCGAGCAGCGGCATCAGCTGCTGCGGTAGCCGCAGAGGATGGTGCTGGGGCACCAGAGGCGATTGAGTTACCACCGGGCACTTGGGGAGGAAGAGCGGGGCCAGGGTGGAACTGTTGATGGGGGTATCCGGATCCCGGAGAAGAAGGGCGCTCATCGCGAATGGGGCGAATTTCAGGAGCAGGGCTGAAAGGACGACCCTGGTAAGGAGGGGGAGGGGCACCACCATTAGCCCCAGGGGGACCAGCAGGACCAGGGGGAGCAAGGGGAAGACCGCCTCGTGGGACACCAAATGCGTTGCCGCCACTAGGAGCTCGTTCGTGACCCGGACCAGGCGCATTCCCGATCTGGGGAAGGGTGTGAGGGGGTGGGTAGGGGGAGGGTTCACCCATCTTGGGCGAGCGACCTGCGACACGGGGGTCAGGGAATGCCCGACCTGGCTCCTGGCGAGGACTCTGCCCAGCAACACCGGGGAGTCGAGCATCACGCTGTTCAAGACCATTAGAGGGGGGACCCTGGGGCTGAGACTGAAGCTCATTGATACCACGGTTCCAGTCAGGAATCGATCGAGGGGGAGCGGGGGCTTGTGGAGCAGGGCCGATGGGAGCAGGAGCGCCCCATTGCGGCGCTGGAGGCTGACCGACTCCAGGAGCCTGGTAAGCCTGGGGATGGACATCCTGAGGCTGAGGAGCAGGGGCATTTGGTGGCTGCTGGCCGGCAGTGCCAGTGGAGAGTTGGGTTTGCAGAAGCTGCAAGCGAGTCTTGATGTGTACATTGCTTGGATCGAGGTCGGCGGCACGTCCATATGCATCCAGAGCATCGGCAATCTGGTTGTTGCAAGATTCATATAGAGTACCCAGGTCATACCAGACTTCGGAAATGTAAGGGTTCAGGCGAATAGCCCGAGAGTAGGCGTCGAGAGCATCACGGTACTGGTTGATTTGATAGTAGAGGACACCGATCGAGCACCAGAAGGTAGGGTTGCGTCCGTCGCGGTATACAGCTTGCTGGTAAGCTTCGTACGCCTTGGGATATTTCGCCAATGACATGTAACAGCGACCGAGGAGGTACCAGCTTTGGGCATCGGTGTTGTCTAGTAGAACGATCAATTAGTCTTTATGAAACTGTCGGAGTGATTTGAGAGGAAAACTTACCAGCATTGACAGACTTCTCCAAGAACTGGATAGCCTTCTCCTGACTTTGGAAGCCTGGACTCTGCTGGTGGTAGAGCCAGCCAAGCTGCTGAAGAACCTTGGCATGGTTGGGATCCCTCTCGAGCACGCGCTGATACGCGGATTGAGCAGAATCATACTGTCAAATTCGTCAGCTTGTTTTCCCACAGAGACCAGAGAGTATACTTACATCCTTCTGTTGCTCGTGGACATGGCCAATCTGGAACCAAATGTCTTCTTCGGTGAGAGGGCGTGGGGGATCGCTGACGATGTATTTAAAGCACTGCAAAACCTGGTCAGTCATAATTCTTAGCCATGTTCAAAGCTCCCAACGTACCTCCAGACTCTGGCTAAACTTCTGCTGTTGCTTGTATATGATTCCCAGGCGGAAATAGATCTCGTTGGCCTTCTCGAACTCGGGTGCCATGCGCATCACTTGTGAGAAAGCTTCTTCGGCGTGATCCAAAGAGCCATAGCGATCGTACAAGATACCAATTCCATACCAAAGCTTGGGTTCCTGATACGAGAAGGGGGGTTAGCAATTGAAGGAAGCGAGAGGGGCTATTCGCCTACCTTGGGATCCCGCAAGTGGTAAAGAGCTTGCTGATAAGAAGTATATGCCTCTTGCAAATTATCCATCATAAGGTGGCAGTGACCTAAGCTGCCCCAGGTCTCTCCGCTGCTTGGGTCGAGCTTCAAAATATTTTGCAAGTATTCAATCGCTTTGGGGAATTGCTCCTTTGTGCGAAGAATACACGAGATGGCGTTCATAGCTGAGATAGACCACTGGTTGTGACGCAGAGCCTGTTCATACGCGTTCATTGCACCCTCCAAGTCGCCCATCAATTCGGTCAAGCTTCCTACAGGAGATGAGCTGTTAGCCATTGCAAGTCCACGCGCTCTGTTTGTTTTCCGTACCTATTTGGAGCCAGACCTGCTCGTTCAGCGCCGCGATTTTTTGAGCCGTTGTTAAGGGAGGGACTCCCTTCTGATTAGCAACTGGGATAGCTGGCATATGACCGTTGGCCTGCGCGTGCGCGGCCAGATGAGCTGCGGCATGGTGCGGAGCCACGCCCGCGGTGGGAGAGGGTTGGGTGTGCGACATCTCGATATCGACTCTGATCTAGTTATAGCAAGTGTGTCGCGACCGAACTCTGAGGGTTTGCGACACAATGATGCAATCCAAGTGGCTACCCCAGGATGTGAAGCGCACGGATTCAATGTTCGATGAAGTTGGGGTCCTGACGGTGTACGACTAGAGGAGATAAGATTGGGTCGCGCCAGAAGCCCAAGTTCCACACGCGACAGTATCCGTTGAAGGAAGAATGGACAGCACCGACAGAGCAGAACCTTCGGGGAAATGAGGGGAAAGTCCAACTAAGAGCCAAGAAAAAAAAAAAAGAGGAGAAAAGGGAAGCTCCAAAAAGAGGAAGAAATGAAGCCAAAGTGGAGGTAGAATTGAGAAGGGGGAAGGAGGGAAAGAGTCGAGGGGCTGGCGATGGCTCTTTCCCTAAAAACCGCCAAGAGACGCTAGTGGTTGGGTAGCTCCCGGCCGTCACGACTGATTATTTAATGAAAGCTGACGGTCAGGAACGGTTTAGCGTGGTGGAGAAGATCTGGAGGCGGTTATTTCTTTTTTTTTTTTTTTTTTTTTTTTTTTTTTTTTTTTTTTTCGTAGTACTACCTAAGGTACTTTTGAAGATTCTTTTTTATTTGGCCCGTTTTGTTACTCATCGGATTCCTGTGGAGTTAGTTCATGTACGTGTGAGTCCCCACCATGATCTCATCACCTGAATCAAGAGTGCTACCTTATTATAGTAAAATAGTAGAATAGTACAATAGTACAATAGTAGAACAGTAGAACAGTAGAACAGTAGAGCAGTAATATAGTCCAATATTGAAAAAGTAATTCTCTAAATAATTATAATTATAATTTCCGACAGCAGCAAGTGGGCCGTGGACTCCCCCCGTGGTTGCGCTATAAGGTTAGTGCGACTGTTCTGCCACCTCCGATTTTAGCCTAGTCCACAAGGCCTAAACGCTGGACCGTGCAGCGGCATTGGCCTTCTCGGTAACCTCCCAGATCCCTGTTCCCCCCCTTTTACTTAATCCTCCGTGATATCCACCCGTGTCACTTACAAAGTACAGTCCTACAGAGTATCCATTGATATATATATTTACCTGAGGTAATTAATCCCTACTCCGAATTCTAAACTTTAGAAGTTACTGCATATATCTTCCTTGATGCCCCCTCCCACTGTTTGGTATCTGCAAGACCAGCACAGACAACCCAACCGGGAATCGTGCATGCAGCTGTCGAGTGACCTTTTATTTTCTCCGGTACAATCCAAGTAGCCCCTTTGTCCGTACAATGTAGAGTAGGAGTATGATTAGTCTGCATGCCAGATGGAAATGCCTCCCTTCGTCATGGGACCCGCTATGAGGATCCCCAAAACGGCCTAGTGGACTCGATCCTAATTTTTTCTAATTTTCAGCCACAGCAGCCACAGCATTAGCCACATGGCACCTTGTTTCTCTCATCCCTTTTGTATTCCATACTCCGTTACTTGGAAAGGAAAAAAAAAAATTCAACTTGAAAATGGAATTGGCATTGATTCTGCAATGTCGTCACAGAACGTGTGGAGGCATACCGTTTTCCCATTTTCCAAAACTCCACTGTGTGGGGACGCCTCAATTTCTGTCGGGGTCTGCTAGCCGAGCCGTTGTCTCTTGTGAAACGGTTCCCCTCGGAGCCTCGGTTTGTGTCTGATTTCAGATCTCCGATGGGAGAGTACACAGCATCTCGACATGCCGAGTCAATTACCTGTCATGGATCCCGAGAATGGAATGGAGGGGTTGAGTCCGTACCGTACCCGGGGAGTACTCCATACGCAGTCGGGAGTACTCTGTACTCGGACTCTGTACCGTAGTAAGTACAGGTCTACAGGTGGCACATATCCTTGCATGGAGGGAATGCGCGGGATGCAAATCCCCTGAGCAGACATGGAAGCATGCCAAAGCAAAAGCACCCCGGAAATCCGGCAAGGGCTTTTCAGAGACAGATCTGCCGCGCGCATACCAGCGCTCCACTGTGGAGACGGTTGGGCGCCCATTATTTATGAGGGAAACACTAGAACCCCTGCGACGGGTCTCTGCAGTCATGCCCTCGGCGCGGTGGGTATGACCGTGCGACTCGATTCCAGTAACGGGGCAGATTATAGGGGGTGAATCGTGTCCACTCGGTTTGAGTTCATTTCGGGTTGTGGCTTTGATTCTACACGCGGAGGATATAATTCAGATCATCAGGTTTTTTTTCTCCCTGTCTCTTTTTTTTCTTTTGCAGAAGAAAAAAAGAAAAGAAAAGAAAAACACAGGAAAAAAGAAAAGAAAAAAGTTTCAAGTTGTGCCAAGACATGATAGTGCAAAGCGCAGGGATTGCTGACCGGTCCAGTTGGAGGTCGATTTGTGTGACCTCGAAACAGATGCAAAATTTTCTGTGAAAATACATTCGGATCGTGGGGAGATTGGCACGGTTTTCAGGCGTGATGCAAATGCGTGGCTCAAGTGGGTGAACCGTAAGTACTTAAGTACCTAGTAGCACCTTCTGTTGGGTAACCCAGTCGTGTTGCATTTTAAGAGCTCTGGATATGATCCGTGACTGTGAGTGATTTTATTAAATATACCCACTTGAGCAGCTTTGACTCTAGACTCAAGCCTTGGGCATGGGTTCCTCAGGTACCGCGAAGCCAATATTATTGGCGGTTACTAAGTATTGAGGCGTCGGCTAGTTGGCTTTGGAATCCAGCCCATCACATCGTGATTTCCGGGGCTTTCTAAAGTTGGTGGCTGAAAAGTCGCAGCCACAGGTCTGCTGGGATTACGCTGAGCTGTTCTTCACTACGGGGTACGGGGTACGCGTCCAAAATTGGATTTTATTGGCGGAACGCAGGGTAGCCATAATTATATATATCCTAAAGGTTTTCTGATGACATCTCTGAAATGGGCACTCTCGGTAAGAACTGCACTGTGTGGAAGAAAATGATCCTTCAAGTGAAAGAGCCGATTACCACTGGGAAGATGGCTGAGGGGGCTCTAGGAGACCTATACTCCTGGAAAGATAACTCATGGCAGTGTGATAAAATCCATACTTAAGTAATACGCCCGTGAGATAGGCCAGAAGACTCCTGAAGTCGGATGGAACGTTGGAATAACTTTAGAAAAACTAATCGAAGAGTTTCTACTCCGTAACTAAGCAGGTAAACAACTTTAGAATGAGTTCACTTTCTATTCATAATCAAAGAGAGCCACACACGAGCACCCTGAGATTCATTTCAATTGCCATCACCCTGGATGATAAATCCCCCACCACGCCCTGAATCTTCCATCAATTCCACACGAACACTCTCTAGCTCCTTCCGCATTGATCCCGGGCTACCATCCTCCTGGAAATGTTCAAAGTCAAGAAGTTTGACCCTCTCCCCCGTAACAAGAAAGTTAGAACGGTTCGCGTCCCCATGAAAAATTCCCAATCCATGGAGTCTCTCCAAAGCCGTTTCACAGGTCTTCAAATCCTGGATGGAGTCAGCGCGCCCTTCTATTTTCTCCAATAGAAACCCCATAATGCATCCATTCTCATAGATATGACCGAGGAATCGCGCCGACAGCCCTGAACCCTCAAGTAGTTGATAAGCTCTCGTTTCGCGCTCGACGTGAGGAATCTCCCATTTGAAACGGCTATTTTAGCAATTATGATAGCTGACGATTGGAAAGTGATTGGAAAGTGATTGGAAAGTGATTGGAATCGAATGCAAGGCAGCTTTGAAAGTCATTGCCGCTAGCAGTTTTTTTTTAAAAAAAAGAATCTAAGAAACTGACCAGGGTGTTGTGCCATTAACACTTGACATCAGCTAGTGTTCGGTTCGAAATGGATGTTTGCAAGTCTTCGGTATGGCTGCGATACATTAGCAAGTGGACTCTGTATGATTGTTATTCTCTTCTTCGAAAGTAGCCTCCTATCCGAGCAGACATCGGAAGCTCAGGTGGCAGGGTTTGACCTTCGCCACTCGACCTCCTTAGGAGCTGTGCCTGTTCACACCATCGAAAATGGCCCAGAAAACCTTTTTGCGCATACACTTTGTTTCGAGTGTCGTACCCCTATTTTGTACCTGTGGTGCCAATGATATCTTTTTCAATAGCAAGTTGACACCCGACACATGAGATTCGTGTTCCGCGCTGCCAGTTAGTCTATTGTATCAAAGGAGTGCATCCGAACCTATAAAATTGAACCTTTGATTTCGGTCTTCCGGTTGGACTTGCAAAAGCGTATGCGATTGCCGTCTGAAAACCAAAATAGCTTGATGAAGAGAGGACAGATTCATTCATTGAGTATATTCCAGGCAAGGGCTTGAACGACTTTAGTTGACCTAATTCGGCTTTGGTCATGTGTAACTGCTTTCAGACTGAGGCAAGAGTCCGCACCTGTGTCTCCAGGGACCCCTGGAGGCATCTGAAACAACATCGCGTCCAAGTTAGTATGGATATGAACCTGCCGAATTCGCCACAGAGCATGTAATTCACAGTACATAATGCTTTATAGAATTCGAGTAAGTGATGTCGATAGCAATTCGTGTTCGCAACAAGGCGCAGAAAAGGTTCAGACCATGCGAGACAACCCGACGATATTAGTTGAGGGAGTCTACCATCTGTCTTGACCCGAGATTTATCTGTCGAGATTTGAACAAAGAATGAATGTCCAGACGGCACAGGATATCAAATAAGAGCTCGAGGGGTAGCCGATCAACAAGTCCAACCTTTGAAGTCTGCTGGAAGGGTATTGATATTGATGGACGAATCTCATTGTTCCCGATGCGAGTACCAGATCACCGACAGATGGAAGTCTTCACGGTGATAGGCAATGGTGCGAATGATGGCGTCACCTTGTTCTTTGTCGAAGCGGAATTCGGTGGCAGAGCGATATCCTCAGGGCATGAGAGAAGCCATTCTCGAGATTTGGCGGTACGCGTTGATGGTGGAGTTCGAGAGGAGGTCATGAGACTCCAGCGTCCCTTTGAACGCTCGTGGTGTTGAATATTTCGTATCGAACGACCCTATTATGAAAGACGCGGCTGGATCATGAAATGAATGGCTGGGAATAATTGCAGAGGTTTCAATCTGCTGGTTTCGAGAGGAAGCCAGTCCGAATTTGGCAAGTACAGTGACTGGAAAGCATTTACTATCTCAGAAATCAAAACACATTTCCAGAACTCCATTATAAGAAGAAATGTTGGGGGAAGTACAAAGTGCCTACTGTACATAGCTCCAGACGACCCAGGAGTTTGCCCAAGTATGTTTTGGTCAGCTGATTACGGTTTTCGGAGCAAAAGTTCTCCCGGAAACGCCTTGTCTGAATGATGGACCGTCGAAATCACTGCAGTCTCCAGGCCCTCAACATTAGAACCTCCCTGTTAAAATCGAAAAAAAAAGCATTGGCAATGCATGAGTAGTGGCATGCATGTTGGGTGAGTCGAGTCCTCTGCTTTGATCAATCGACCATCTGCGATGAGGATTCAGCAGGAAAGGCGATATTCATAATCCCTGTTCCCATGCTGCGATACTTCAAACACACCAACAAGCACGGCAGCTTAGAGCCTCATGTTTGGAACGGCGCCAAGGGAGAAGGTATGCCCGGAAATGCCGACATGACGGTAAAGCAATACTGGAACAGCAATGTATATGATAATCACTCACCGGGCTGAAGATGTTCTTAATGCATGCGCGCACGCTGACAGAGCCAGCATAGAAGCGCATGGACAGTGAACTCGAACAGGCGAACAAACCAGCCATTCGTGTCAAGTGCCAGGGGTGTTAGGGGTTAAGGAGAGTAATGTAAAGCAAAACTGAAGTTGTAAACCGGCTTCTGACAAGCCTAGGATACCTAGGGAAGGCCGTAAGATAAAGCCATGAGCGACATGGGAGGAATTCGAGAGGCCCATCAAGAAACTTCGAGGGGAGAGAGGTCCCGGATTGCAAATTATCCATTATTTCCCCAAGGGTTCTGACAAACAAGAAAAAGCCGACCTCAGACCCAAGTCTTCATGACACGTCGGAAGACGATCTTGCCGATCGTCGGAAATGCCGATCACCTGTGATTGCACGGAGTGGTTAATCCATGATCTGGCTCATGAGCAGAGGGCACAGTATAGACTCTGAATTGTGTAGAATCATGTGTGAACGATATGACCTCGACCTGCAAGCGACGTGATTGATCTGCACCCGCAATTTATGATTATATTGCGTGCTGACATCAGTTATCTGCGCAGCATGGTTGGTTCAAGTGCTGGGATGTGAAACAAGATCATATGAAGCTGAGGGTTGCCAGAGAATTCAAGCCCAGGAGTACTCCGGACGGGGGCACGGAGTACGGAGTATTCCCAGCGCACAAAGGCAAATACGAACAGGCAGAGAAGGCAGGGGCAAGCGAGAGTTGGCTGCCGAGCAACAAACACGCAATCTACCACTCCTGACCGCCGAGCCAAGCAGAGGATACGGGCTCGTGTATGATGCCCAGGAATCCAGACGGGAAAACATAGCCAAGATGTAACCGCGGACGAGAAAGAAACCTTGGGAGGTGAGGATGTTTCACACTCTGATTCGCCCACCGATATCGACTCATCTGACTGGGACAGCGGAATGACATTTGGGGCCAAGAGGAAGAGTCAGGGTCAGTTGTGCCAAGAGCCAAGAGTCAAGATGTCATGTTTGGAGTAGGTTTATGATTTGCCGCAGCTAATGCAGTCGAAGGACAATTATTGAGGAAAGTTTAGGTAAGAGTATTGGGACAAAGCATAACTTATTTTTCCGAACTTTAGAAATGCAATTCTCGGACTTTCCATTGATTGTCCAGTGCTTCATGGAGCATTGAGAGACAGTAATAGAACGTCCACGGAGTATAAGGAGTAGAGTACATACGAGTAGTAGAAATTAAAGGGTAAACTGCTGGACGAGTACAGAGAGAAATACCATCACGTGTGTCACACCCATTACCGCCAAGACTTCAGGCTTCGTCTCAGCGCGGATCACTGCGTATTTCAGCCAATCAGAACACAAGGATTGCCGACTCAGCATCCCCGGCGTCTGCTTGGCGACTTGGCATTTGGTAAAAACTCGTAATCGACGGCACCATTCGACCGATACCGTCCATCAGTTTTTGACATCTCACTGTAGGACGACTTCACACCTTGTCCGACACAAATGGGCAAATAAAAAAAGAATGGCGCTCGAGGACACAATGCTGGATGCCTGGAGAAAGGATGATCGACTGAACCCACCAGGTTAGGAGTCTACGTACCCTACTCAAGGCTCGACTCAATGCCAAGGGCTCGGCATCTGGGCGTCTTGGCGAGAGGGACTGCAAACAGCAGGAAAATGCTCCTCCGCTGGCTGGGACGGCCTTTCCTGGCGTTCCCTGGGTTTTCCGCTCTTTCAAAGCTGCGGCTCTCCGTGGACTTTTATAAGTCTCTCTTCCGCTCTTCCTGCCCGCCCCCCTTTACCTCCCCGACCTGTGAATCCGGTGCCCCCTATGCCAGATAAGACCATGGGAACTATGCGGTGAATTCTACATACAATAAGTCGCCCTCCGTGCGTCTGTCTTGTACGAATCTCCTCGTCTTCACGTCCTGTCCATCGCTACATCGCCGGCCATGCGGTCACCAGAGATGTCCCATAGTCCCGCCTATTATCAGGAACAGGGTCCCTTCGGAACAGCAAATCCTCGCTCGATCCCTACCCCTCCGCCGGCCGCTCGTCGATCTCAAGAACAATCCTCCATACTAGGCCACCCCGTCGGATCTCGACCTTCCTCTCTCTCAAGTGACGCTAGTCCCCGCGCCTCCGCCTCACGGGGCTATCGTGTCTACCACCAGACGCAAGGAGGATCTTCCTGGCCCACGGCTGAGTCTCGGGATACCGACTCTTTCCCAGCCGGTTCAACTCTGAGCGGCGCACACAAGGAAGAGCGGGTCCGCAGTAGCATCACGGATCGACCATCATTAATGTCGGGGGAACATTCCAACCCCAGCATCACCCGGGTGAGAAAGCGAGGCATTCCGAGTGACGAAATCGTAACACATGAGGGCCATGATGCTCTATTGATGCTGGTATGTGTTAAACATGACCGTCCGCTGTACTATACTAACCTGAACTTTATAGTTTCGCCTCACAATTGTTCCAGTGTACTCCTTTGGCGCTTGCTTTTACGCAATCTTCGCCTTCTTCTTCGCCCTCCTCGTCTCACCCCTCCGCCTCTGTTCATTCTCTCAATACCTCCGCTCTACAACCTTTGTCTCTCAGCTATGCGACCTCCTCTCTCCATCACTCCACATTCACGAGCGACTGGTTTGCATCCGTCCTCCATCGGTCGAGGACCGATCATCCTCAACCCAATGGATTCGCTCTGATCCCGAATCCGACCAACCATCAGTTCTCTCTGAACCGAGCGAAGTCTATAGCATCGCAAAATCGATGGCTGTGTTGGTGTTATCACCAATCTTCAGCATTGCAATCCTTCTCCTGGCATGGATCGCTGCGTTTTTCTGGGTGTTTTCCATGATGTTGGGTAACCCAGATGGCACCGAACGCAAGGATGATGGCCGAACTGCCGTGCTTGGTGTCTGCAAATGGTGGCGAACTTGGCTTTGCAAAGCCCGCAAGTCATAACAGTTTCCGTGAGGTATCTGGGATCCATGAAGCATCCCATACAAATACCTCTTTCACCCTGAATTCTGTCCCATTGTACCATCACCTGGTACATGGTACTGGGACTACGTGGAACGACCTTATTTTTTTTCTCCCTTCACATACCTATACCTCCGTCCTGGCGGCTATGACATTTCACATATTGCATGATCCATGCACGGCGTCTGGGACTGGTTTTTCTTCTTTCTGTACATGGCGTCTGGCTTGGCGCACCTTTATCCTTGGACCTTGTGGACATGTACACCTTTTTGTTGTCTTACAGATCATCGAGGTTGAAGAATCTGGCCGATTCGAGGTTTCGGATCTGCCGGTTTGGTTCTTCACTTTGGAACTGTACTTTTATGTATGAAAGTTGTATGTATGCACTGCCCTCGAGTGCGAATTTGATACCCGGGTTTTTCTTTGGTTTCCGGTCCGTCAATACTCAATTCTTTAGTATCGTAGTACTATGTCGTTTTTTGCACTCAGCCCCGTGGAGGCAATACTAATAATATGCATAATCTCGTAGGGCTTTGCTGTCGATCCGACGGGTAAACATCCTTGTCTAGTGGGTTCTTGGCCCGAGGTCCTCCGCTCCAGGCCAAGGCCACGTCAGGCAGCAGGAATCGCCAACATTAGGAATTGGAATTCCTAGCTTCATTCTAAAGTTGTGTATATGCCTATGGCAGAGCAGAGTGTCTATGTGACAATACGCTATATCATGTCAGTACTTAAGTAGTAAGGTGTAGACACGGCAATTGCCCTTCAGTGTGGGGTATAAAGCTATCTGATCGGCCAAGATGCTCAACCAAAGGACCACTTTCCCGAAAAAAGGATCAGAGTAACGGAACATGCTGCATATATAAAGAGTAGAGAGTAGAGATAGAGAGTACTCTGTACTCTGTAGTTCAGAATGTACAACATCTTTGGCGCCTTAGACCTCAGGTGTCACTTCAGCAGCCGACCGGTGGCGTCGGGCAGAATTGGCCTGAGTCCGACCTTTAAGTCCGGTGTTGCCCTCCCGATACTCGCGTTGTTTGCCTTTCGACTTCTAAACTTCCGGGGAATTGCCAGTCCGAAGTCATTGGTTCCACGCGTTACAGTTCAATCATGTCAGGAAAGTCGGAGGAAAAGACATTTGTCTGCCCTGGCTGCCAGAAGGGCAACTTTAAAAGCCTCCACGCTGTGAAAGTTCATTTTGAAGCCAAGGGTCACCCACTCAAATGTGTGCCATGTGATCAATCCTTCGATGTCCTGAAGTTATTACTCAACCACTGCATGGGACATGCGAAACTGCCCGATTCAGCTCCTAAGCGTTTGCAGAAGCAAGATCAGGGCCCCGCTCCCAAGTCTCAATCGAAGCCTGTGGATGCACTTCCATCGCGCAAATCAAAGATGGGCCAGCAGATTCAGAGTTCAGAGACCATACCCACGCAAGCTCCTGGATACAACCAACATCAAGAGCAGAGTGTTGATGATTCTAAATTGCAGCCCGCAAAGCAAGTGGAGCCAAAACCGCGCAAGGCAAAGAAGCCCAAGCAGACTCAGAACCAGGAGACACAGGAAGCCCCTGCCACTCTTTCAGGGAAATCCGCAAACAGATACGCTCCAAATTTCATCAAGGGCCAGGACCTATCTTCCGTCAAGCCAGTAGAATCGAAGCCGAAGCCCGCGCCAATTGAGCCTCAAACTCGCCCTCAGAAGCCCGGCAAAGGAAGAGACCGTTCAAAGGCGAACAAACCAGTAGAGATACTAGCTCGGGCGCAACCTGCGCAACCTCAGCCACCACTGCATTCTGTGTTCTCAGGCGATCCCAAGTCTCGAGGGGACCCATCTTTCAGTTTCGGTGACACACTTCTCGATACTTCACAACGTGAACGTGAAGCTGCTCGGAACTTGATCCAAGCAGCCCAGAACGAGAACTACCGCACATCCCAAAATGAGAATTACCATGTCACTCTCGAGCCACTGGAACAGAATTTGATCTTCCGCTATCTGTTGGCTCGCTGTCATTCAGACACCCGCTTGGCTAAACATGGCTATACCTTCCAACCCAGTTTGAATGAAGCTCATAAGCGCCCATCAAAGCAGTGTCCTATCAAGCGGGGGCTGTTCCGCGAAGTGCCCCGGTGGTCCTCGGACAACTTGGCGAAACGCCGCGCAATTGTGCTCGACTGCGAAATGGTTCAAGTCGAAGAAGGCCGTCGAGAACTGGCATTCCTAAGTGCAATTGACTTCTTAACTGGTGAAGTGTTGATCGACAATTACGTACAGCCCAAGGCGAGGGTCGTGAACTGGGACTCTCGGTTCAGCGGCGTTACACCCGGCGCCATGATCAAAGCTGTCAGGAAGGGAACGGCTCTGATGGGCTGGGAAAATGCACGCGCCAAGCTTTGGAGTTTCATGAACAGTGATACTGTCCTCATTGGTCACTCGCTGAACAACGACCTAGACGTCTTGGGTATGATCCACTGGAACATTGTCGATTCGTCTATTATGACCAGTGAAGCTGTATTCCTCCAGCTGCACTCGGGCGAACAGCTTACCCGCACATGGGGCCTGAAGACTCTCACCCTGGAGCTAGTGAACTACGATATCCAAGTCGGCAAACAAGGCCACAGCGCCCTTGAAGATGCTCATGCCACACGAGACGTGGTGATTTGGTGTATCCGATACCCAGAGCTCTTGAAGGTTTGGGCCGACAATGCCAGGGAAGAGGAGGCCATGCGCGTGCTTGAACGAGAGAAACGAATGACAGACAGAGAGCAACTTGAGGATCAGAGACGATTGGAAATGGAATACAGAGTTCAGGCTCTGTCGCAAGGCCTCAGCGGTATGACTGTCGCTGCGTCTGTCGCTGCGTCTGTTGCAGATTCAGATGATGACCCGGTGCCTACGGTGCGCACCGACTACGCTATGGCTCAAGCAGTAGAATTCTTCTGATAAGATTCCATGTTTGCCATGTCCATAATGCAACCCAACATCTACCATTCTTTCTCCCCCCAATTAAATAGTGCCCTCCCCAAATCATCTCCTCAATCACACCATCTGCGCAGACGGGAGAAGCTCCGCATCACTCTTCTCCCATGGATATATCTCTTCAAGCGACATAATCAATTCTCTGTGCCCATCACTCCGTGGCTGGATAGACACATCGAACGGTGCAGGATGACTGATAACACCGGGAAGGAAATCAAAGTCCATATCTTGTGCCTCTCCTTTCGAAAGTGGCTTTGTTACATCGAAGGTGGCAAGCGCCTGTGCAACAGTCAGGAAAACATTTGCATCCGCCAAAGTACGCCCAGGACATGCTCGGCGCCCAAATCCAAACACAAGAAGATGAGGATCTCGCTCTGGGAAACGACCATCAGAAGAAGTCATGAATCGTTCAGGTTTGAAGATCATGGGGTCATGGTAGACAGCTGGATCATGCGTGAATGCCCTAAATGTTGGATTAGACCAGTGATTGAAACCAGGAAAATTCGCGATTTGTACCAGATGTTAGCCAGAATTGATGATCCCTTTGGAATGAAATATCCTTCACACATATCGTCTTCGATTGAGGTATGCGCTAAACTCATGGGCACGACTGGATGCCACCGAAGCACTTCTTTCACCAATGCATTGATGTAAGGGAGGTTATCCCTGTCATGAAATTGCGGAAGTTGTTTCTCCCCAAGCACCGCATCGAGTTCGTGCTGGGCTTTGCGTTGTACCTCAGGAAACAGAGCCATGGCAAGGAAGAAGCTTGCGATTGATGAAACAGTCTAGTAATCTGTCAGTCATATTCGCATCAATGAGCTCTGTGGACCTACCGTATCTGCTCCCCCGGCATATAAGGAGCCAGCTGACCATTTCACAATATTTTCTTCCTCACTCCCATGCTCAAGGGGATTATCTTGAAGCAGGTTAGATAGGAAAGATGGGAATGCCCCCTTCTTCTTCATCTGTTGCTTAACAAACTCGTAGGGTATATCACTGAAAGCCTGCTGTCGTTTGTTATAAGTTCTTGCGATGGTTATGAAGCCAGCGCCTGGAAACCAGGTCGGCAAATATTCCACTAATATCGTTAGCAATGCCCCTTCACCTCTCACTTCTCACTTACACAAAGGTATGAAATCCACGGCCCACGTCGCCGGAAGTAACGCAGACGAAAAGTCCTCCATAGCCTTATCAGCCAGATCGACAAGGGGATCTCGATCATGAGGCTCAATCGTATACCCGTATCCAATCTTCAGCACAATACCCCCAGCTTCTCTGTGAGAATTAGCATTGCGATTGATAGCAGAAACAAAATACCCACTTCCGTATATGCTGCTGAAGATTACCAGGTTCATTTAAAAGTCTTAGCAAAAAGTGACTGACTTCAGTTCTCTGGACTTCATCGAAAGCAGAAACAGATTTCTTGGACCCGATTTCTTGGTATAGATGCTTTCGAGTCTTGCGGACATGTTCTGGGTTCCTGCGTGCTCCGAGGACATTGTTCCATCCGGACCTGGCAAGTAAGCTACTTAAGTATCAGACTTCCAGGGTTGAAGTGTCTCGGCATACATGTCTGTGAAATTCTGCTGCGGACGCATAGAGTGGATGGCTGAGCGCTTTTCCAATAACTGGATTGCTAGTTGTGCATCGTTCAGGATGATGATGTGCGTTCCCAGTACGCTTACTGAGCTAATGGGTCCTTGGGAAGAGTTAAGTACTCACTCTAGAGCTAGCCATGGAAACCCGGAGATAGACATACCATATTGCTCCTTGTGTTTCAGCCAATGTAGCCAATCTTTCTGGGTTGGACTTGGGAGGTCTCTTAAATTACCGATGATGGGTATACGTCGAGGGCCAGGAGGGAGAGGCGGGTGTTGTTTCCGACGAATGAGAAGGGTCACAGCACCACAGAGGCTTAGTAGAATGGTTATCCACAGTGTGAACATGTTAGCTGTGCTATAAGCTAGAATTGCAAGAATAGAAAATAACCGTGGAATCCCTGGACATTTGAGGATAACTTTAGAAGTCCCTGCGTAACTCGGGCCTCTGGTTGTTGTCACACTGCATGCGAAGGAGGGGTTGTGCCACATCCTTCCTGCAAGGTCATATAGATCTTGTGTCTGCGATAGGTGTTGGGTGCTCTTCATGCAGATGAATGGATACATTTGACAAACTTGGCTATGGATTCTCCAGTCTCGGGCGTGATATCACCGATGGGCAAGCCACATTGACGTTAGTGCGCGACTAAATGTTTCAGATAGACATGTGAAGGATTCTCAAGTTGCAGCGCCTCTAGAGTTACTTTTTATATGGAAAAATCCGAGAATGATAGAAGTGTATTAGGCAAAATGGCTATGTAAAGAAATCTCTATATGTATTAAACAACTCCCCTAGGTGGTGGACTTGGCGTATTTTTCATAACATCTTAACACTTCACACCATTACCATTGGCACCGTTAACACCGTTGCCATTAGCATGGTGTCCGTTGCCATTGGTGTGAGCGCCATTCGCGCTGACAGCATAGCCATCGAGGTCGTTCATGAGTGTCTCCATCATGCCGCCCTTGAGAATGCTCTCGTAGACAGTGCTGACCCAGCTGCCAACGGACTTCTTGCCCTCGGTGGGAAGACCCTGCTGGGCATTGTACAAGGGGTCGTCACGGAGACCGCAGTGGAGGGGAACATTAATCTTGGAGCGGACCCAGTCGTAGAGCTGAGAGGTGCCCTGGCCGAGCTGAGCAGACACCTCTGCGGAAGAGATGACAGGGCCGGGGTAGTACATAGTTGAGGCGAGATCGTGAACGGCAGTCTCGAAGCTCTTCTTAAAGGTCATAAGTTGGGAGACTGTGCACTCGTGGCCGGTGGCGGCGAAGAAGTCGGTGATGGGGGTGGTGACGGACTTGACCACGGAGGTGACACGGTCCTTCCAGCAGTTGGTGTTGGCCTTGTACCAGGCATCTTCAATAACGGGGAACAATGTGGTGCTCAAGGTGGCGATCTGGGCGGTGGACAGTCCGAGGCCGTTCAGAGCACCCTTGGGGGTGGTGTCAGCGACCAGGTTCTGGAGGCTGGAGATGAAGCGCTTGTGGTTGGCGCGGAGGTCAGCAGCCTGGCAGCAGACGAAGAGGTGGCAGGCGCTCATGTGTGCAAGGAGATCCACGGCTTCCATAGTGCGACGAGCGGAGATGAGAGCCAAAGAGTTGATGCCCTGGTTGTGCATCTCGGCGGACATGACGTGGGCAGAGACGGGGGCAGCAAGGGCAGCCAGCTCAGACATGTAGGCAGACATGTTAATATCGATACCCTTCATGGTGTAGTTCTCACGGTCACTGGCGTTGAGGTTGGCCTCGAGACCGTTGTTTGTGACAGGGTTAATAATCTCGGTGACTTGGGACCAGAGCATGCGACCAATCATCTGGATGGAGAGACGGGTCTTGTCCATGGCAGAGGTGACGGAGGCGGCCTGGAAGTTACCACCAGAGTACACAGCACCCTCGGCATCCTCGCTCAGATCGCTGGTGTCCACGATGGGGTTGTCTGATGTGGAGTTGAGCTCGACTTCCAACTGCTCCTGGGCGAGGAGAAGGTCCTCAAGGTAAGGGCCAACCCACTGGGGAGCGGTTCTGGTTGAGTAACGGTCTTGGCAGAGACCCTCACCAGTCTTCTTGCGGGAGGTCAAGCCAACGACGAACTCGGAGCCCTTCAAGAAGTGACGGATGTTGGTAGCCACTTCACTCTGACCAGGGTGAGGGCGAGTGTCGTGGCAGAAAGGCTGAGCCCACTCGACGTTTCCAGCCAAGCACTCAGAAGAGAATGCAGTCAGCATCTGTGAGAGAAGGGCAAGCTGTTGAGTATCGTAAAGGACCATACTGGCAACAGCCACTGAGGGGGCAGTGCCGTTGATGAGACCCAGACCCTCCTTGGGGCCGAGTCCTGAGGCAGAGAGTCCGCTCTGCTGCAATGCCTCGGAAGCAGGCATGACTCTGGTCTTGGAACCCTTGCCGACTTGGCAGAAGACATCGGGGTTTCCGGTGATAGCACCGGCAATGTAGGACATGGGCATCAGATCTCCTGATGCGGAAATGGTACCTCTCAGGGGAACCATGGGGATGATATCATTGTGGAGGAGGTCAAGGAGGCTGTCGAGCACGCACTTGCGGATGGCACTGTGGCCTCGGAGGTTCTGGTTTGCTCGTGTAACGATGGTTGCCCGGATCCAAGAGGGAGGCATGACGCGGGAAGGCTCACGCTCCCAGTTGTTTGAGGGATCCTTATCAGCGGCAGTGATGATACCACTTTGAATGAATTGAAGCAGATGAGTCTGCAGGTCAACGAGCTCGCTGGTACGGGTGTCGGCACTTCCACCGAAGCCGGTGTTGACACCGTACACGACATAGTTGTGAGTGAGGTACTCGGACAGGGTGTTCACGGAGAGATCAAGCTGCTTAGCAATGTCCTGATCGTCGGTGATAGTGGGTTTGGCACCGTGGCGGGCGACGGCAATGATGGAGGCAATGTCGAGGTTGTTACCATCGAGGACAATCTGCTCCTCGCGGCTCTTGAGGTCTCGGAGACGTCTCCAGATCCCGAGAGTTGCGCTCGTGTGAGCTGTAGGCTTAGGAGGAAGCATGATGAATGATTAAGAATATGGAATCCTCTCTGTACGTTCAACCAGGACGATTGAGAGATGTGAAAGAAAACTGAGAGCACAAAGAGATTTGAAGAGCAGAAACAAAAGTAAATAAAGAGATTGAGACCCACCCTGGTTCTGAACTTCGTACACAAATTGTATCGAATGCAATAATGTAGATCAGCGGCTGAGGATCTTGGGTGTGGTGGAGTGTAGAGTTCAGCCGAACTCCACTGGGTCCGCAATTCTACTCGATTGACTTTTTTTCACACCGTAATTTACCATTTTCATTTCATGTGTACAAGTATGCATTGATTATGCCGCAGGGTATACTCGTAGTAGTCTCTCCGGTCCTTTTGCATGGCTGGCCTGGACTCTCAGCCACGAAGGCATCACTATCCGTTCAAATGGCTCTACGAGTATCCCGATCGATCTCATGGACACATACCCACCCTGCCACTCGCTCCGAGTTTAGCCTCGCTAGTCTCTGCTGATCGATCTGCTGGAGACGCTTTATTACTCGTACGAATACATCCAAGTAACTATTGACTAACTACTCCGTGACTAGCCTTTATCTCTTACGAGTACGGAGAACAATCCACTGCCCTGTGCTGATACGAGTACAGATGTTCCCTTTTCGCGAAAGGAGTATGCATAGCTGACGCCACTGCCTGGCCTAACCCCAATGTTCCAGTTCATTGCCTGTCTAATATGGCCTCGAAGAAAGGGTTCCCCCCGGAGGTTGAAATAAGCTATGTAAGCAGGTCTCGCAACCTCGGAACATGGTTGCACACTTCGGATCGCAAGGGGGAAAGAAAATCAAGGGCGCGTTCCTGGCACATGAAATATTATCCAGTCTCCCGACTGGTTGGATTACTGACCGGATCCCTGGACTGCACTTCCGGGCAGATCATACTGAAACAGGTTGACCGTCAACAAAGGTGGACATTGCGTTTTGGCCTCATTGGACTGGATCTTTTCCACAAGAATCTTCCGCTCAGTGGATCTTTCTGTCATTGTATTGTTCCGTGTGTACGAGTAATAAACCGGGTTGCAAGATCAGCATTGACTTTTGCCGTGACGAAAAGACCCACTTATATCTGGCGCTACTTTAGACCCATCATTTCTGGCTGAGCTAAATGGTTCAGCTCAAATATCTGGTCCGATCGAACAGGGTTTTTAGGTTATGCCGACCACAAGGTTGCCGTGGCCACTGAGTCTACGGGCACGGCTCCGGTCGCTCCGTGCCCGGTTTATTCGCACTCGGGGCTATCAGGATCCTGGCGATCCCGTGCCTAATACGAGTACATCATGAAGAACGAAGTTTTTCGTAGATCCCGAGCTCAGAGCGTGATAAATTGACAGCAGACTTTTCTAGAACCAACACCGATGGACTCCGTACTGTGTACGGAGCTAGAGTGGACATGCCCGAATTCAAGCCATTTACCCAGAACGTAGCAAGTGCGTGAAGATCTCGGGTCTACGAGTAATTTCGCGAGCGGAAAATACAATGCGAAGCAATAGGAAGGACAACAAACCTATAGTGGAACCAGCATGGAGGAGAGCTGAGACAGCTGTGCCGCGATCGTAAGTAAGGTGGGTCCCAGATCTGGGAAAAGTAAAGGTTACGAGTGGCTGGCCCCTGACCATGGTTCGTCTGGGTTTTGACAGTGGGGATGTGGGTCTCAGGTACTGCTATGAAACCCATGTAAACATACACAATATCACTTTTGCTATACAGTTCAGGGGCTTGGTGGATATGAGATATTTTCTTACTGTACCAAGTGCGAGTAGCCTGTGTCCCAGTCGAGTCTCCTGTTTCCAATTCTACTCTGTACTCGTACGAGTACTCCGTGTCCCCTGATTCTTCCGAATTTGCGTTTCCTGTGGTGGAGCTGGAAAATTCTATCGCACCCGCACAAGCTCTTCCGCGATTACCCCTTCTGGTCTAAGGATGCAAGAACCTGTCCCAATAGAAACGAACCGTGGAGCCTAGCTGTCTAGTTGACACATCATTTATCGCATCCTACTCTGAAATCCAATTCACATGTTACAATGCAAGGGATAAAGGATCATCCGGCTTCTTTATCCTCGGCGGAAATTCTTGCAGAGTCCATGGTAATTCGCTGTCCGTTGTTGTTGAGCTTTGCGCTTGGACAAAATTGGCATCCCTAGCAGATGGCCCTCTGGCTATTGTATTGTTCAGATAGTCCTGCAAGAGCTGCATGCATTATTCAATGTGATACTGAGAAGTCTCAAAGTAAGTTACAAGTCATATGCAATACATGGAGATACGAGTATGAAATGTAGATCCTGTCCAGGTGCTATCCCGGAGGACGCCGTACCTGAGTCGGTTTCCTTATCAATACCCAATGAAGGGGAAATATGGCTGCACGCAGGGTCAGAACATCGGGCGTCAACTAAAATGTACTGCACATTCACATGGAGTAATCTCATATGAATTTGGATATGAGAGTGAACAACGAAGCCAGAAGAAGCTATTGAAATTGTCCTACAGCCTTATGGTAAGTTTCATGAAAGTAACTGTGGATATGTTCAAGAGAAACTTGTTTGATTCAACTGCGGAATACTCCGCAACAAGCTCACATTTTCGCGAGACCACCACGCTGTGAAATTTTAGTCTTCAAAATTGCATTGGATTTTTCATCAGTGAAAGATTTTTAGAAAGGTTATTTACGCCTAGAATTCTCAGTGCCCTCCAAATCACACTTGTTTTGTCAGATCCAATCTCGTCCATCAACCCACCCACGAGCTGGAAGAAGCCATCAAAAGTGGAACGAGACGGGAGTGATGCATTAAAGTTACACGAAAGTCAATGCTGCTACGGAGTTCGTGTAGATTTTTACTTAATCGTTGGAGTGAGTACGAGTAGTCCACGCTCGTCCTGAAGTCTCCATCTCGGGTATGGAGTACCCGCAAGCTGATCTGGACTATCATAACCCTTTGTGCTAATACTGTGTCAGAATGTATGAACATACAATCTACTTGACCCGCTCTGCTCCGTGCGCGATACTAGTACATACCCGTAGCTTTATGCCAGATATGGTTTGTACGGAGCGACTCCATCAGCTAATGTGTATGTAGGCGCCCGAACGTACCTGTGCCTGTACATCAAGTCGGGGAACAATGCGTAGATACTTCCACAGAACGCGAAGAAGAACAAATGCCAGTTTCCAAGGTTCAGATGTCTCGTGAGCATGGATGGTACCATGTCCTCTAGCTTAGAAAAGCCGGTCGCTGCTTCCCAGGTGTTTGTCAAAGAGTCTTCATTAATAAGGCTCTGCATGGACAGTCGTTGAAATGATGATGATCTACACTCATTGCATATACATATCCATAGATTACCTGCCCAGTGGCAGTAAATCTGTGCTGATTGAGTTTATTTCTAATCTTCTGAATCGGGAGTTTAAAAGAATGGATGTTCGCGTGGAGCCAACAATGGACCTCGGGAGTTTCTTGATATATTACCGGCTTTGGTAGCCGGATCTGCTTACTCCACCTGGCCAAGGATTGGATCATGTATGGAGTATGGGGCAGTGTATCGTTCGGGCACGGCAATAGTTTGTGTGCCCGTACTGATTTACACAGCTTGGACGATGAGCGTAAGATATACGTCGTGCTTGGAGATTGGAGGGAATCTCAGATTAAGCATCTTGGATACACTCCCTGGAGTACCCCGTACTTTACCAAGAGATGGACGCTTGACAAATCTGCATAGACTTCGGGAGCACCTTGATATGTCTCAGTCCGACCTGGCCCACTTGCCGCGAGGTTCTCCCGCCATCTTTTCAGAGAAGTTGGACCCATATTCATCTCCTTTTCGCCTGAAATAAACACCCCAGTATTACAATTTCTCGAAGGAGTGACCTCGACGAGCGTGGTTCTATCCTCATTACTCTACTCCGTGCTCATCTCCAAGTTTGGAAATAAAGTATTGGCACTGCAGAATATTAGACATGATGTTCAATAAACGATTCGATAGAGCCTAGAGATTATTGATCCACAGTTCATAGAGCCTACTCAATAGATTGGCAAGATCTTGGTCTGAAGATCAACACAGCACATTTCCAAAAATTATGTTATTTAACCCCTACTGAAGGAGATTGTATCGTACAATGTGCTGAGTTCTGCTCCATTGGAACCTTTGGAAGGTGTCCGGGTCCCTTGTATTTTGATTTGGCTTCTAGAAACCCCGTACAATTAGTTAAAGTGCCAGGGGCGCAAGTGACTCATTCCCAGTACGCCCCTTTTCCCGGAGAAGGTCAGCGCGATCTTCCAGAAATGATTTATGTGCTAGTCTCGGGACAGTCCTATCTTCATTTCCCCATACTTGGAATCGGCACTCTTCCTAAGCTTGAGGTTGAGGAGTCAGGTTCATGCTCGGTCCGATCTTTTGCTTTTGTCAAACGATGTCAAACGCGTCTGCTTGCTGGATGTTCAACTTTCGCATGAGATAGGCAATGATTATAGTTGGTGAGCGTGATATTCCAAGTTCACAGTGAGTTAATATCGCCTCTGAAGCCGGATCAGGTCACTCGTCGTTCGTCTCAAAGTTGCACTCGGCAGGCAATGAGGATAATGACGAAAGAGCTGGGGCTGCCATTGATCGATGGAGTCGCAGATATAACTCATATAGACAAGGTGATCTTGAGTGGACGAATCGGCACACTGGATCCATTTATGAATACCTGCCGTTCTTGTGGTAGATCTCCACCATGCAAATCGAGCAGAGGTGAGAGAGACGATCGCGTTGATTCTGTTATTTTGAAGCATTTGCCGTTTGTATGATGCCTCAACATTTCCCAAGAGACCAGGGACAATCTGCCTCATCCGAGCTTTGTATGCCATCCCCCATCTGTTGTCCCTTTCAGCCTGAGTGATTTCGGCTTTGGCATTTTCACCCATAGTCAAATCTTTCCTACTTGTACCTTAAAGCCACACGAGCAAGTGGTTGTAGCCGAGAGTTCCCACACATCGCCACAGCCACAATATCAACATCAACAGCCACTGCTTACGGAGTACTCCGTACGTACGCTGTGATTGGCTGTGGTGTGATTGAGCACATCTGGTAACTAGATGAGGTTGAAGTCTCCAGAGCTTCCATTGGTGAAACCGACTGGCCAAGTCTACCCAACTAGGTACAAGTAGAACATGAAGCAGAAGTGAAAGGGGAATTGGTGATTGTTGGGCATGAGCTGTAGGGTAGACGGGGAGAGCCATCCATGCAGCACATCATGTGACCGACATCTCCGTTATCGCCACGTGATATCTATAAATAGTCGGACGACTTGAATGTTTCGCGAGTCTTGGATGAGCGTTGCCAAGAATTAAATTCAAAACATTTGGAGGAGATAGATGCAACTTGGTGAACTGGAATGTAAAACATTCCTACGGATTGTCTTAGTTGCACACGAGTGACGTGATAAGTCTATTTTAGTGTCCGCAGTATATGGAGTACAACCCTGGATGTACTTCGCACTTTATAGATGCGGCCTTGCTCTTTTCTTTTCTTTTTCTTTTATGTTTGTTTTTTCCTCTGTTTGATTGCTTCAGAGAATTGAGACGAGAACGAAGTAAACAAAGCCATAAAGTAGTGTCGTAACAACTCGACGATCAAAACAGAAAACCTGCCAGGTGCCTAGCCCCACATATCTAACGCGTGGCCTCTTATCGGGGAACTTGGGATCTTTGGCGTTGGACCGTTTTTTTTTTTTTTTTTTTTTTTTTTTTTTTTTTTTTTTTTTTTTTTTTTTTTTTTTTTTTTTTGTTTTTCTTTTTTTTTTTTTTTTTTTGGTTTTCTTTTTCTTACTTTTTCCCTTCTTACTATTAATTTT